TATACGATTATAATGTGACAAATTGTGAACAAGTTGAAAAGGTATAAACACTTCTCAATCTTACAAATAAAAATTAAAGCTATCTTGGGACCAAATCTGGATGGGAATGCCAGAAGCTTCCAAACTGTCGCCCACATCATCACACACCTCTGTCTTTAATTTCTATGAATTTGTTTTATTTTGTTGGTTGGGAGGGAGTAATGTGAAGCAGAAGGCTAATTCCCCCTGCGGTCCAGCAGAGGGCGTCAGACTACACATTACTGCTCCTCGGGCTGGAGAGGAGGGAGGAGGGAAAACAAAGTTATTTCCCCTCACAGTTCCAGGCTGTGAGGAGGATGGAGCTGGGGTTGTAAACAGAGCAGCTGGGGCCGGTGCTGGTCCAGCGAACCTCAGAGTTTTTTTCTTCTTCTTCTTCCTTTTCCCTTCTCTTCACTAAACCTCCTCTGTTCGCCTGGCCCAGCAGGGCTCTCCGAACATGAAGCCCTGGGCTGTATTTTGTCTGGCACTGCTCTGTCTGGAGCTCCAAAATGGTGAGTGAAGTTCACGTTTTCACATCTGTTGATGAGCCGCGTTGTGTGCAGACGGACCGGGTGACAGCCGCAGGTCGAAAAGGCGAAACCGCTTCAAACACTGGCGGGAGGGGAACCACTTGGTGTGTGTGAAGGGAAGCTCTTTTTTCTACATAAAAAATGAGTATATTAATGCAAAACAATTTCATGTCCTAAGTGCATTTTTTTTCAGTGATTTATATGAAAAGTGTGTTAAGTGGAGGAATGTTTTTCCAAAGTGATTCTGCAGACCTGCTTACTGGATGTGAAGGAATGCAACAGATGTTTCTGATTATCGACGAATAGCCAACCGAAAGGAGGGACGAATAGCTAAAATGGAACATATTACATTTTGTTCCCGCTGAGATAAAAGCAAAAGTAGAAGAAGAAAAGAAGAAGAGACTGAACTGTGCGCATTTGGAGGCGGTGGGAAGGATTTTTTTTTCGGCCTTCCTGTTGCCTCAGCTGCCTCCCTCTGTGTCTCCAGGATCCTGTCAGGCGATCAAGAGAAAGAAAGACGCGGTGGAAAGCAGCGCCCATCCAGGTGGGAAGCGGGCGAGGGCCCGCCAGCCGGCCCTGACAAGCAGGAAGGGGAAGAGCCAGTCCCTGCTGACCCAGGTGTTGGACAAGGGCCGCTTCCTGCGCCTGGGCCCCAGCACCACCCTGACTCCCGGGAAGAGCGTGGAGCTGCGCTGCAAAGGGACCAACATCGGATGGTCCTATCCGACCTACCTGGACACCTTCAACGACTCGCGCCTCAGGTGCCGCAGGGAAACGCCCTCCTCCGCTGCCGTTTCCGGTTGCTGGGTTGGTTGGCTCGGCTTATCGCTCGTCTTCTTGCCTGCAGCATCAAGCACAGCGACAAGTACAGCCAGCTGGTCCTGACCTCGCCCTCTGCTGCAGACACGGGCTCCTACAGCTGCTGGGTCATAGTGTGTGACGGGACGGAGTGCCAGAGGGACCAAGACCGCACGTACGCCTCCTACGTCTACTTCACAGGTGGGCGTTAGGGTACGTTTGATTTCACTAGCAAGTAAAAAAAAGAAAAAAAAACAAAACTGTTTGGAGTTTCGCCCAAGTACTTAAAAAATAAACCACCCAGCCGTTTTTTGGCAACAAGCTGGGAAAATGAGTTTCAAAAACCTCCCGATTGTTCAGTCAAGTCAATCAAGTTTATTTGCGTTGCACATTTCAGCAACAAGACGGTTCAAAGTGCTTTACACCATAAAAACACAAAATCATTTTACAGTCGCCATCATCACAATGACCAAATATGTTAGTCGATATTCCAGTGATCAGTAAACCAGCATTTCGCCTTGATTTAAAGGAATTTGGTCTTTCTGGAAGTTTGTTCAACATTTCTGGTGCATAGAAGCTGAGTGCTGCTTCTCCATACCGACACTAGCAACCTCAGCTAAGCTCCAGCACGTTTGATCAGCTGTTTTTACCGCTGTATTGAACGTACAATGGCGGTCAATACCGCCATTGTATAAAAAGACGAGTGTTTTGTTGTCGACTTACCATTTAGAAACCACTTGCTACATTGTTGTCAGTTGTGCAGGAGGCTCCACTTCTGCTTGTCAAGTACATGCGGTTGTATAATTGCACGTCTGTTTTGCAGCCATTTTCATGTGCGAGTGTAAACGCCAAGGTAGGGGATGTGACTGGCAGCAGATCACGACTTTCTGGTGTAGATTTTTTTTTTCCCTCCAAGACTTATTGGCTTGCCATATTAGTGAAGAAAGGGGAAACGACTGCTGTACTGTCATTGCCCAGGTATCATGTGTGCTGAGAAATAATGTCACTGACTTCAGGTGGTAAAGTGGTTTCCAATGAGCGCTGAACTGTAATCAAAGCAGAAAGTCCAAGATTTAAAATACATTTCACGCCTCAACTTCCTTCCAGACAAAGAGAACCTCTTCGTCCCGTCTGCGATCCATTTCGAGATTGTGTACCTACGCCCTGACAGGCCCGCGGTCGTGCCCTGTCGCGTGACCGAGCCCCAAGTTGAGGCGTCGCTCCACCGAGAGGTCCCTCCCGAGGAAATCACAGCAAACCAGACTCTTTTGACCTTCGACCCCACCAAGGGCTTCATTCTACGGAACCCCAGCGCGGATCTTCAGGGGGTCTTCTACTGCAAGGCTGCCTCCAAGGGGACCCCTCAAATCTCCACCAAATACCAGCTGCTGTATGTGGAAGGTGAGGGAGGCCAAAAGTATTCATACCCTCCCATCTTTTTTCCCCCACATTTTGTTGCCATGGAACCAGAATCTAAGTTAGATCACGGTGGCACTTCTGCAGAAATTGTGTCTCTTAAGCTAAAGTCAGCTTCCTGATTCAGAATAGACCCTTCCAGACTGGAAGATGGAAGTTTACGTAATAAAATCAAGCAAATTTAGGTAAAGTTAAGCAAGTTTTGTATGTCTAAGCAGCAGCTGAAGATGGATTTGTGCTTGTTTGATTGTTTGAACTCCACGTACTTTCACTGCTACTTGACTGAATGGATCAAATTAGAGGTTTAAGACTTTTCCATCATGTCCGTCTCTCGTGGACAGTTCCCAGTGGGGCCCCGTTCGTGAGCCTGGGAGCCTCTCCAGAGACGGTGAGAGGAGGAGACAATGTTAATGTGACCTGCACTGTGCTGGGAGAACCAGAGGAGGACGTGAGCTTCAGATGGTCCTATCCCGGACAGGTGAGAGACACGCAGGAGACGTAGAAGGAAAACTGAGTGGAAATGAGGAGCAGTGGGGAAAATGTGAATAAAAACAGAGGGATATTTCTAGTTTAAAAATGTTTTTTTTTGTACATTCGTCAGTAAAGACAAATCCTGTTGATTATGATTGATTTGGGTATAAACATCCGTGGGGTTGAATACTTTTTAATAGGAACTGTAGATTCTCACTCATCCAGGACATGACAATCCTAAAAGCTGAAGAAGACAACTTGACTGCTTATGTTTGGTTCAGTTCTCTTCTACATCAGCTCTTCCAGATCTCCTAAACATGTCAAGCAATAACAGGATTTCTGCTGGTTTCACCTACTCACATTTCAGAATTCAAAACTTTTTAAGACAATTATGAATGAAATTTAAGACCTAGTTCTCAACAGTGTACGAACGTCATCCAGCCAACCGGACTGATCATTTGTACTTGCACATGATCGACGCAAAAAAAAAAATGCTAGCTAGCTAGCCAGGGTATAATAGGAGCGTTTTAGCGGTAGCCTCAAGTTACAGAACACAATGAAGATGTTTGTGAGTAATGTATTTAAGGGCATTTTACCATTTTCACTGGATTCGAGACATTTGAGGTTTTAATTCTAGATATATAGATTTAAGGCTTTTTAAGGATGTGCGGACACCGTGGATAAACAGTCCCACTAATGGCTGATTTATCCATTTCTGGTGTGCAGCTCTAAAAGCGTTTGACTCCTTTGCAGCCAACAAACAGGTTGTTTTTGTGTCGCTGCAGGACAGGCGTCCGGTTCACATCCAGATGCTGTGGAGGCTGGTGAACAGAGGCATGGGCCACACCACAAGGGTCTCCCAGAGCATCTTGTCTGTGGACAACATGCAAACTATCGACTTCGGTAACTACATATGTAAAGCCAAGAACATAAACGGTGAGACAATAGTGACGACCAAAATCGCCTCTTCATAATCGCCACCAAGGAGCGCGTGATACAGGTTGTTTTTTTTTTTGTCCCGTGATGGACGTTTTCCACATGTAAAGCTTTAACGTTGAGTCAGCCGTCTACAGGACCAGATAACATCCATGTTAGTTCAACAAAATGGCGTGCATTATTGTAATATTTTTGAAAAACGCAATAAAGATTCTTTAATTGCTTTCATTCATTTCAATGAAAAACTGGTTGTAGTTTTGAAACCATAATATGTTGGTACCTCTGTTTATGCTGACATCGGGCTGTTAATGGAACAGTTTTTTGAACGAAGCAGAGTAATTTTAGGGAGACTTTCAGGTCTTCCCCTTTTCCTTACAGCAGGAGGATGACGCACATAAACCTTTGCAACCTGAACTGAAGAGGTGTGTGGAGTTAAAGGCCTCATGGAAAAAGCCCAAAGTTATCTCACGTCCAGATGTTTTTGACTAAATTAAATCTAAAGGTTTGTTGCAACACATATCTAGTGAAACTTCATTTCCATGCTCCATTTAAAGCTTATATTAGATGCTAAAAAAAAAATCTAAAGAAAAAAACCCCTAAAATGCAGAGTTTTTTCCCCCCCCATTGCTACAGCTAAGCTTGGTGTCCTAATGTGCTCCTTATGTGGAATGTGTTCTGCTGGGACAGAGTTCATTTTGGACTCGGTGCAATGGTTTTTTGCTTTAGCAAAAATAAAACTGGTGATTACAGATTACGCCCAATAAGTGATAAACGAGTGCGCATATTTACAACGTCTAAATGTGGCTCTACTGCAGTAAAAGCCACCCCTTGTTCAGGTTTAATAAAAGAGTTTATTAATTGCATATTTCAAAAAAAGGCTCAACACATCTGTAATATTTCCACACACAAAATATCCACACCTTTTGAAACATCCAGCGTCCCTGATGTGAGCGAAGCCGTTAGTGTAAACCCAGAAACAGAACCCTGACCTTAAAGCTAACTCTTCCTTTATGAGGTCACAGATGGGAGGCAAACGCACCAACAAAGACTCAGATTGGTCTCCTGGTCAAAGAAAGCAGAAACATTAAAGCTGGTTGTGCAGACTTAACAGAAACCACACACACACACACACACCCTGTGAACAAAAATAACCTTAAGGAAATGGGTGTTCAAGGCCAGCGTATGAAACGACAGACTCGCTGTTAGGCTTGTGAGAAAAGGTGCTGAAGTCTGAATGGATTCCTTAGATATTCTGAATAAATATGTACACCCTTAGCTATCCTGAAGTCAGACTTTTCATGGCTGTGGAGTCCAGAATCAGGAAAAAACACAAAAGCTCATCAACACCGAAAGGCTGAATCTGCACATGTACACATGAGCTTTAGGGAAGACGAGCCTCTGACGACAAAAACGGTAGAAGTAATAATAAAAGTCCTGAGATTTTTCTCCTCAGCCTCCATCTGATCAGTTGTCAAAGGCAAACAACAAGGTGGCATTAAGTGCTTCTGTGCAACGTTTCTCTTTACAGTATTTAGCATCTTTATACAGGAAGTGGTGGAGCTCATCTAGTCCTCGAAGAGCCAAGGTTCAAGCTGGCAAGATTCAATCGGCTTTTTATTCCAGGAGGAAAGCTGAACCTGGGTCGCTTTTGCTTCCTGGAAGCAGGGGCCCACCGCTATCTGGGGGACAAAGGGGGGCTGGAGAAGAAGCCGGAGGCGCGGGGCGACTGCAGCTTGAAAGGGTGGGGGGGCGAGGTGGGGCTGGGGGACAGCCTGCGGGGGCTGCCGACGTCTCCGTTGTGCAGCTTCCAGAGCAGCTCCTCGTTCTCCATGGACAGCCGCTTGTTCACCTTGGACTCCTTCTGCAGCGACTCCTGCAGCAGGGCCTGCTCCGTGGACAGCTGCCTGCGGGGCGGCAGCACAAACGGGGTCACAAAATGGAGGGGCGTGACATTTCATTCTCTGGATTAGTTTGGCCTCAAAAGTTATCAAAAACTAGAACATTTTACTGCTCTAATTGGAGAAGTCAGTTGATTCAATTTCAGATTAACCAGCTCTGACTAGACTCAAAACTTCCACCTGTATCTGATCAGTGAAAGAAAGTAACATCAGGCAGTTCAAAATAATTCAAAGCTCTGGCAAATTTTAACCAATTTAGATTTTTTGTTTGTTTTTTTAACAATAAACTATTTAGTTTCATATTAAAAATGGAAAGTATTTCTCTGAAACATTTAGCATCTTATCAATGATATATATATATATATATATATATATATATATATTTTCTGATTAAGAATTGGAAGGCCTCCTTCCCATCACCCTAATGTTTGTCTCCCTCTACTGGATTCAACTTAAGCATCTAGCGGCGCCACTTCAAAATCTTCAGATATCAGTAAATGGATGAAAAACAGTTACTTAAATTTGAGGTTTCTCCTATTCAAATGTAAGACTTTTTAAAAATGAAATGCAAGAGCTGCATCTCCACAGAAATGTATAAATTTGGTCTAGGAAACTGGTGATAAATTTCCACTTACCCATGACAGACGCAAAAAAGCATTTATGAGTTATTTATGTAGCAATGCTGTTATATTATTTATGTCGTTATTTATGTAGCTAGTTAGCTAGCAAGGGTTTATTAGCAGTGAGTTAGCGGTAGCCTCAACCATCTTGACTCACAGAACACAATAAAGGTGTTTGAGTGCGACTCAAAACTTTTGCTTGACAGAAAAGTCATGCGAAAAAAACAGAGTATACAAGATTAAATAGTCCTACCAGGACAAAGTTTAAGACATGTGACCTTCATAAAATAATGGCCCAAGCCATTTTTTGCCACACTCGGCAGCAGTATGAATAACAACGTGATCTCTGGTGCCATAAGATCAAATCTCTACATGAGCCAAAGATCAGACTCTCTGATCGGTGCAGCTCTAGCTAGAAATGATCTCTGTGGTTCTGGTACCTCGACAGAGCAGCATGCCTTTCCATCCGGGCTTTCAGGTCTTCATTTTCTTGCTGGACCTTTATGAGCATTTCATCCAACTGTACCTTTTTATCCGTCTGTTTGGAACAAATGGAGCAAATTTACGGTTTAGGTAGCTATTTATTTATGTTGTTGTTGTTGTTGTTGGGCAACCTTTTTCTATGCTGCCCAGTTCTCACCAGTTTGCCGACGTCCATGAGCTTTTTCTCCTGCTTGTGCAGCTGTTTGTTTTTCATTTCCAGCACGACTTTGAGACTCTCCAGCTCCTGCTCCAAGTACAGAGTGTGAGAGTCCTTCTGCGGGGACAAAACGCAGCGTCATGATGAGGGGCTACTAAGAGTTTAAAAGCCTGTGCAATTATAGCACATGCTGCAACTGCAGCGTCAGAAAAACAAACCCTCCAACAGAGGGCAGCACTGAGCTCTGACTAGCAGGGTTTTGCTATTTGCTGACAGGGACAATATACTGTGTATTTGGATGTTAAATATGGAGCTGGAGCAGTTCCAGCTCTGCTTGCAATTATTTCAATAAGGCTTCATGTTAAAAAAAACAAAAACCTCTCACTTCCGAGAGCACGTTGATCTCCTATCTGTCCATAAGTAGTTTATCTTTTGGGTAGTCACTGGTTTTATTGTTATTATAGGCTCGGGGGCAAACAGCACTGGAATCATGAGGAGTTTCAACACTCAATCCTTTCTATATCACAGTACCTGAGTGTTTTCTACCAGCTCCCTCCTCCTGCTCTTCTCTGCAGCTAGCTTCTCTAACAGGGCATTATTCTCTACTGTCAGCTCCTCAATCTGTGCCTGTGGACGAACAAAACCAGTGGGAAAACTAGTGTGCACTGGTACATCGATGGCTAAAGTGTATTAAACAAATAAACAAACAAAAACCACTTACAGACAGAGCAGCTTCTGAGTCTTTTAGTTCTTGCTCCAAAGACTGCAGCTCCTGGGCGTGGACTCTCCTGAGTTCTGAGAAGTTCAGAAAAAATGACTGGAAATGAGTTTTCATGGTAGATCACTAGAAATCTATGGAACTATTATTTTCATTTCAGAGTTTCACAAAATATGCTTTGAGGATTCTAGGTATGCAAGTTATCGATTAGTGAGTTAAGTTAAAGTTGATCAATCTTAATCGACTAACGATTAACTGACAAGCAGCCATTTTGACAAGACCATCTTGTCATAAAAGGTTAGATTGTTCATAATATGCCTATGCTTTTCTCTCACCTTCCAAAGACAATTCATACTGTTGCCTAACAGACTGCAGCTGCTCTGCGTGGCGGCTCTCTAGTTGCACCTTCATGGCTTCCTGATTGGCTTTCAGCTCTTCCATCTAAAAAAAAAAAAAAAAGGCAGTTAAATATGTTCAAAATGAGGAACTAATTGTTGCTTTTAAGCTAAGTTGAAAACCAAAAGGCAAAACCTTAGAGCTACCTGCTGCTGCATGAGAGCCTTGTACTTGTTTGCTTCCTCCTGGTAGTTGAGGTGAACATGGTCCCATTCAGCCCTGTGGACAGCCTGCAGCTTCTGCTCCAGGTCAGCCAGCTCCTGCTGGTGCTCTTCCTGCAGCCTCCGTGTCGCGTCCTGCAGAGCAGCGCGCAACTCTTCCTTTTCCCTCTCCAGGCACTCAGACGAGTGGACAGAACAAGCTGTTGGCAAAAAACAAAATAAAATGACAGAATGTAGTGATCATTAAAAAAAAAGAAAAAAAAAGACTGAAGGGGACGGATTACTTTAGTAACTCGCTGAGCACGTAACCCAATATTCCCACTGAGGAATTTTGGTTTAGTGAACTGTGTGACAGACGGTCTCCAAAAAGGAATGGAAAAACTGACTTTTCAGAGGGAGGTGGCACTTGTTCTCAGCCAACTACAGCTTAGTTATTTATAGGCAGAGAGAAATATAAAAACAAGCAACTAAATCACTCGGTGTAGTTCAACGGTGGTGACTCGACTGCAACCGAGGCCTTTTATGTGTTAGCTGTGTTGTTCCATGATTTAACACACTCACCATTTCCCTCCTAGAAGGAGTGTTGTTCATGACGTGGAGATTTTGCTTCTGATTTTGGGTGTGAGGCGACTACATCAGTAGTTTAAGCAGCTATGGATAAACAGCTGTCATTTTAAACCATCAGGGTCAAGTTAAATATGGACCGTTAAAATACAGCCATGGAGAAGCTGACATGTGTTCAGCGAAGGACGTGAAATCAAGCTGAAAATAGATCTGGTCAGTTTGAGATATAATCTGCATGCAGCTGCGTATGAAACCTTACAAAGAGCTTTGTGACATTTAATTCAAAACAAGCAAAAAGACTGATTTATATTGTAGTCCTTGATGAATACTGAAATAATCAGACCCAACTTGCATACAAAATACACTGCATTTGTTTTTGTATTGTAAGTTTTTCCATGAATTATTATAATCATAAAAACGCAGGCGGGGAATCTGTTCTTGTTGGAGTCACGCTGGGGAAAAGGCCTTGGCTATTTGCTGGATTTTCAACAGAGCAGAGCTGGCCTTCCAATTCCAACACCCTCGCCTCCAAAGCTGCAAAAATAATACATTTATTACATGTAGCATTACCACCAAAGGAGACAGAATAGCAGCTAAACATCTGACAGATAGAGCAAGAGCGAGGAGGAGACCCAGACAGATTCAGAGGCAGCAGCAGAGACAGGAACGCTAATGCTATGCTATCGCTAGGCTAACTGAGCAGACAAGCCCTCATCACGGTGAGACAACCGTGTGAAAGAAAGATTTTCCAAGATGTGTAGCAAGAAAAAATATGTGCTTTAACGTGATTATGTATATTACTAAATTCCTCAATTTAACAAAATTAGATCAAATCTATTTTTGCAGCAGCTCACTTGTTTGGGCCTGTTGACCGTCTTAAAATATGACAGATTATGACCCATTAAAAGGCAAAAATAACTACATTCAGTGTTTTGCTGGTAGATATTTTAATAAAATTGAAACATCCTCATGATGGGCTGGCAATATCCCACGTTACCCCGAACCATTTCATACCCTATAAAAGGTACAAAACAACCAGATGTGCTAAGCATTGTGATATCACATGACAAGCAATGTCACTGGTCTGCTGGGATCTTATAAACAACGTGGCAGACATTAATTTCCTGGATGGAGAAAAAAGTGTTTCCTGAGACTTGAGTGGGTTGACTTGATTCAGGCACAGAATTAAGTTCTGTGTCTCAGTGTGTGAATGATGTGAACTCAGTGACAGATGAAAATGAAGGATAAATGTGGTTAAAGATGGAGGAAGGACGCTGTGCTGCAGAAGAGTTACCGCAGAAGAAAAGTGAACAGATCATTTGTCTGAAGGAAAACCAAAACATTACACTTTATGAAAGCCAGTTTTTACGAGAAAAGATTACGAAACATATACATTTTAAATGCCTCTGTGTTCACGAGATAATGTTTTATTTCTCTGCTGTCTTTGAAAGAAGAAAGGCTGGGGAAACAGTCAGACTTAGTTTTGTTGTTGCAGCCAAGTTAATTTTCTATTAATTTTTTTTTTTTTAAAGTAAGAAAGAACAACCAGGGGGACTAAATGACAAAAACTTTTTTTAATATTTTTTGGGGCAAAAAAAAGGAGAATATATAAATGAAAGGGGAAATGATCATTAGTAATTTAATTAATGACTGTAGGTTAACCTGTTGCGTGTAAAGCTCAACAACAGGAAAGAAGAAACGAGCCGATGAGGGAAAATCAGTTGATTATAGGCGTTTAAAGCCATCTAGATCTCACAGGAGGTATTTATATAATCTACGTTCAAAGCTGGAAGCAAAAGACGACCCACAGTGACTTCAGACCTTTTGTGTTTCTGCCCCCCAAACAAAACAAATTAAAAAACCCACAAAGCCAGAAAACATTTCACTAAAAAACCCCAAACAGGCCTGTTGAAGGTCAGCGTGGGTCGCCCAGCCAGTCTGAACAGAAGATTGTGTTAGAGTACAAATATAACAACATTCAGCGTATAAGAGCAGTCATGTGGGAGTCCCGAGGCGGCCGCAGAGGGGGAGGAGCTAAAAGGCCTCCAAAGCCCTGGCGGGGGGGGGGCAGATAAATACTGGTGTGAGATGAAGCACATATGCATGTCCAAGGCTAGTCGCCGTGACAACACTTAAACCTGACGAGCCTCCACTGTTACAGTGAGCGATGGTAAACGTCTAACCTAACAAGTCTAGCTAAACTGGATCCTGATATACAGTAAAACAGTTTAAAATACCAGACAACTCTTCAGTGGGAAATAAATTAGATGTAATCAAGTCTGTAGTAATCAAGGATTAATCGCACGATAAATTCAAAGGAGCGTGATCATTTCCATTCTGATGATTAGTACATTTTGAAGAGCAACTATGTTTACAGAGACATTTTATTTATGGTTTCAGTTATGTGTGTAACTTATTTTCATTTTATTTATCGTTTCTGGTTGTTTTGCTTCGGATATTTAAAACGTCTTCCACTGTTCTTTGCACAATTGAAGTTATTGGTCAAACTATACTAAAACTATATTGGTCATGATCGATATATTACTTGAAAATTGTCTGAGTACCAATATTATTGTTTATCACAGAAATTTCTGGGACAATTTGTCATCCAGCAAACTTTATGGTGACAGCTGTGATTACCATTGTAAAATTAGGAGCTAAATTAGATTTATCCAACGCTCTAATGGCAACACAGTCTTAAGCAGGCATATCAGCAGGGGATAAAAAGAGACACAAGTTCAAGTGATACTGCTGCTGTGGCGCAACTTACCCAGCTCTCCTTTAAGGCTGACCAGTTCCTGAGACAGCTCCCTGCACTGCGTGGTGGCATCGTCACACTGCAAAGGAAAAACAATTACTTCTGTCAGTGTTACTGCACTGATTAGGGGAAGGAGGAACAAACTCCGGCATTAATATTACAAATACAGACAGGAATCTCATGAGCCCAGGTTGTCTAGAATGTTCCAGTTATGGATCAGAACCAAACAAAACATAAACAAGACAGAAGAGACGTTCTGTGGTGACTGATATGGAGTCACATTCGACTCATATTTCCAGTTTCATAGACTCCTCATGTCAGCCAAACTTCCTTAACCTTTCTGAGTCAGGGCTGCAGCTGCAGGTTTGAGCTCCAGCGCTTCTGCTACGGTTCGAACTGATGCAGAAACAACCCACAAACTATTCAATTCCCTCCTCTCTTACTGTGTCGATTTACATCCGCAACCCGATGCTCTGCACATCACCTTATGCAGCCCACGTAATTTAAAGACGGCCGGAGCTGCGCAGGACAAAACGGCACCAAAAAGAGTTCAGTTTACATCAGCAAAGCGATCCCCTCTGATCTGCATCCGTTTCCCGCTGCGGAGAACAAGAATGAAGAAGCCAGTTACCGTCTCTGCAGCGCAGCGAGCACTAAGACAAGCTTTGCTGCCAGCGCAGCCCATGATCCAGCCTCAGCCCGAGGCTCTGGGTGCTGGAGTCCCCCTCTGGTTGCTATGGAGACCCGGTAATCCAGGACTAACAGCGGTCCGGGTGGACATACCACCTCCACACGCATACCCTCCCAGACTGAGCTCACCACATCTGAGGCAGGACTGAAAAAGCCGCTTCAGAGGTAGTAGAGAGAAGTGGCTTCTCTACCGTATTTCATCTAAAAAAAAAAAAAAAAAAGAAGAAGAGGGGCGGGCTACAGAGAGTGCTTTAGGACAACCCCCACAGCAGAGAGGCCACTTCAATACGAGGAGGAGAACCGAGAGGGAGCAGAGAGCTGGCCGATGGGATCGGACCCGTACGGCGCAGTGACACCACCCTGGTCATAAACAGCCAAGTGCTGCTTGGCTTGCCCTCCCCCAGCCACAGGCTGGAAGCCGATTTCATCCAGTGACCTATCAATTTACCATCCTGTCCATGAGCAACACCGCTTACAGTCAACGTGCAATCAATGAGAAAAAGAAGAACAGATTACTATGCTCGCTAAGGCGATCAATACTTAAAAGGTTAAAAAAGTCAGATGTTGGTTTTCAGTCTTTGGTTTTCTTTCCGTTTAGCTTTTTTTAAAACAAGTTTTATGGCCCATTTCCATCAGTTTGGTTGTTCATGATCCTGCCAGTTTAATAGGATGCTGGAGAAAGAAGATATTTTCTCCAGCATAAGTGTTCCCAGAGGTATACGCAATGTTACTCTCCACCAAGAGTATCATGTTTATATGAAGATGATACTCTTGGCAGAGAGTAACATGACAGTATGGACCGAGGTAAGAGGTCAGGTTTCCAGTTTTCTGGAATTATTGGGAAATTGCAACAGATAAATGAGGTTGGAATATAAATCACTTTGTAAATCAGCTACAAATTTATGCATGTCAACTTTTTTTTAATATAAAAAATAATAATAATAATAATAAAATGCACCGATTTCCCCTCAAATCATTTTCATGTATTTTTAGTTTGTGCAGATGCAGAAAAAAAAATTATAGCTAAAATAAATCCTAATTTTATTTCTAGTGCATAATGTGAAGGGAAATAAAAATAATCCTCTCTGATTAAAGTATTTTATAAGCATAATCTGAAAAGTGTGGCATGCATTTGAGTGATTACTTTGCAGAACCACCGTTAGCTGCAGACATTTTGGGGATATGCTTATTCTAGCTTTTCACATCTAGAAACCAATCGGTAAATGTTGATATTTGTTAAGTAATGTCATATAATGAACCTCAGAGGAAACTGAAGAGTAAAATTTACATGTAAATAAGTTTTCATTTAACTTTTTTTCTTTTACCAGGTAAGTTGATTGACAACAAATTCCCATTTTCAATAACGACTTGTTCAGGACCACAATATGACAAAATATTATGGTCACAGAACAGAACAAAAAAACAAAAATACAACCTTACTCATTCATACTGACTAAACATGTCAATATGATTTATCGTACATATAATAAGTCAACCGTTTTTAAAAGCAGGTACTTTGATCATCTGGTCTTTATTGAGCTGATAATGGTCGATGTTGAAGTTAGCATCCAGAGCTGAAATGGGCCTCATTTACTAAACCTCTGATTGATGAAAGTAATTTCTTGCACCTGATTTATTTTAGGGTGTTGCATTGAGCGCGGCAAAATACAAATGCACTCCGCACATTTCAGATTTGTACAAGTAAAAGGAATTTAAAAACACATTATATGCATCTCTCTTTACACTTCAATTGTGCACATTTGTTCTGCTGTATGAAACAAAATCTCAATACATTTTTAGCAAATATAATTTGACAAAATTACAAAAAGCTTAACTTTTTGAAGCCGTAGTTTACCAATTAAGAAGTCAGGCTTTGCAAAGCCTCAGCTGAAGCAGAAATGTGAAAGCAGGCAGCCTGGGGGAACCAGAAGCAACACTTCACCCTATCCAAACAGGTGATAAGAAGCAGCAGCAGCAGGGCACAGTCTCTTAGTGCTTGGCAGCAGTTCATAACCATATCAAGTCAACAGCTGGGACGTTCTCACGCCGCGATGGCAGACGCCTGCCTCCTATTATTGGCATGATGAGTGGCCACCAGATTCCATTCTTCACTATGCGATTATGGAGATCATTAAAAAAAGTACACACACATAATGCTCCTTAATATATGTTATAACTGTTGTGAGTGACAGATGTTGGTGTTTAGCAGGTGTGAAGTAGAAAATAAAGCAGTTTATTATGCAATAATGAGTGGAGTCAGTGGGAGGAGGCTGGGACAGCTGCTTTATCTGCCAGAGGAACAAGTGTGTGTTTCAAGATTTGGTAATGCATTTGGTTTCACAACCATGCTGCCCAAAACACAAGGACATGAGTCAAACATCAGTGAGTAAAGATCACGCTCTGTGCCTGAGACACAGCTGCCACATTTCAGAGGCCGCCATGGACATTAAACAGATCCAGCTCAAAATCTGTTCCACCGTGACAACAGGCAGCGGAGAGAACGTCACAGAGAGCCGTGCTGCTGCCGTTCCTAAAAAACCCTCCCTGAATATTTAAAATAATTCATAGGGTTTAACAAAAACTGTTCCAAACACTGAGTTTTATCCGATTAGGACACAAATCACATGAACTCTGAATCAACTTACAGTCGCAAGAAATGTCTCTGGCGTAAAAGTCAGCAGAAGAAACGAAGCACAAAGGCGACTTCGTGTAACAAACACGTTTTCTAAAAGGATTTTTTAAAAACAGGGAACTAGACTGAACCAGAGGAACAATAAAAATCAACAGCCATTGTTGCCCCTGGCAACATCCAACCGATGAATAATGTGGGATAACGCTATTCAAGAACACAGCGAACATACCATACAGCGCTAGTGTCTTCATAAAGGAGCAGCAGCTACACTGCTATACTATAAAGATCAGCCATTCTGAGCAGTGGCGCAACTTACACATTATTCAGGTGGATGCGAAAACATGCGCCTCTGATTCTGAGACAAGAATCAACCCATAAGAGGTGTCTGAAATATGAGCTTCTGTTATTGCTTTGTATAGTTTCCAAAGAAAGAGAAACACTTGGCATCTTGGTGGAGTACATGAATAATTTACATATGAATTCATTAAAAATACAGAAGCTCAGAGGTTTCTCCTTGTACAGTATCATCATTCAGACTCATATCACAACAGAGTGCAGGGATCGTAATAAAGTAGGAGATGCACTGATTTATCAGCTCGTGAGGAAACACTCTGAGCTGGTTGATGCTCAGAACAAAGGGTATCCAGTGACAAGATCAATGAGTAAAGAAGTCTTAAAGTTAGACATTTCAGTCCCAGAGAGGGCCATTTTAAAGGAAACGTTAGTTTTCATAACATGTCTGTGTTCTGGTCATTTCCATCCTTTGCAGTTCTGAACTTTACAGAGATGGGTGTTTTGTATCCGACTTCTTCAGGTATTAAAAGCAGTTGGCTTGGAGGTAAAGTAAAGATTCACGAGAAGCTAAGCAAACTAATGACTAATATGAGATTGTAAAGAGATTTTAAAATGTCAGCGTTTGAATCATTTTGTCTGTTTTAAACGAGTAAATCCTTGTTTTATACACCGCTTTTTAAAAACACGACAGGACGTCGTCTTTAGTGAGTCATTTGATGTAAAGGGAATCTTTTGTCTCAAACGCCTGACAGAGACGAACAAACTAAATTTGTCTTTGATTGCTCCAGAGTTGACTGACAAAAAAAGCAGACATTTATAAGGCTGGACGATATCGAGCCATGTCTGCTTTTCATTTGGTGCACTGCACAACCACAAAAATCTTACCAATTATTTTTGGTCTAGTTTATAACTTTTCAGCAACATATAGGAATTTATTCCAAGTAATTAATTCCTTAATATTGATGAAAAAGTACTAGATCCACTTGAAGATTTTTTTCCACTTATAAGTGATATAATCTGATAAATTAAACTGGAACTTTTCCCCTCGATATTATGGAATTATTGACTTAAAACAAATTTCTGCATCTTGCTGAAAAGTTACTTGTGAGTTTTGTCTTGGTAAGACTTTGTATTTTTGCAGTGTAGCCTTATGTCAACAAAATAGAAATAGAAATGTGATGTTTTATTGCATCAGTAATCAATAACATACAAAGAAAAAACAAGTATATTACTTTGGAATCTCTAAATAAATTACAGCTGTACAGTTTACGTATTTTAGCTGATGTGAAACTAAAAAACTTTCCTTAAACAATTGATGCTACATTCTGCTTTAGTAATTTAACCTGGCAGAAAAGTATCTGTTGTTGAGACCAACCAGGACAGCACTGCTTGATTATGTGTCAATTAAAAAAACAAAAATACCAATACATTTTTGTTATATTATCAACTTACAGAGCTGGACACCAATATAATGCAATACAATTAATTACATTACTAACTATCAAGTCTCATAACTGGCATCAGGAATGTAAGATGTGACCTAGTCTTTGAAAAAAGACTCTTCTAGTGCAGAAAAGCTTAATTATCCTCTAGAATTAAAAAATTCTCACCTGAGCCAAATTTTGCTGCAGAACAATGGCAAGGGCCTGGAACCTACAGTTGCTGTCTGTCAGGAGTTCTTTGAGCCGATGGATTATCTGCTCTTTCGTCTCGTCCTGTGCTGCAGTTGGAGACGGAGAGCCCTTTGCTTGTTGGGAAGGCTGCTGTTGATGCTGCCTGGAGACGGTCTTGGCTTTGTTTTTGTCCACTGTAAAAAAAAAAAAAAAATATGAGTTGTTGGGACAACATTAATCTTTAGCAAACCCCCCTGTGTAGCCCCACACACAGTCACCCAACCAATGAGTGTCTGTCAGATTTAACGGATTACTGCCATCCAGAAGTGCACTGCCCCATCATTCAGCCTGAAGGGTAGCAGTGCTGCCCCTCAAATACAATTAGTTTTCCATATTTTAGTTTAATCCAGGCAACTGTCGCCGAGGGCAACTACTTTTAGAAAAGTTGTGTTAGTGTGAGTTGTAAATACAATCATGACATCCGCCGTCCATTTAAGTGAAGAAGAGGACATTGCTACCAGCACTAGAGCGCCATGGAGTCAGAAGAAAACAATTCCAGCGTACATAAAGCACACGTCTTGAGTCCAGTGAGGGGACAGAATCACAAACCTGTACGAGTCGAGTTGAAGTGAAACAAACTGAGCAGGAAAATATCTGGAACACCATGATGCTGCATTTAGGGCACATATCTGTTAAAACATTTTTATTTCAGAAATAAAAGCTTGAAGCCACTGATTTATTATTGACGACGATAAACTGATCATGCCTGTAGCTTCCTGCTACTTGCATGATTATATTGATCTCGCCATTAATGTTTTATCTCAAATATAGAATCTCTCACTCATCACTGCATTCCAGTCTAGTTGGTTTGACATTTTTAACCATATTTTAACAAGCATAACATTGGTAACTTTCTATTTACAAATATAATGGATAGTAACTTCCATTTGTGTGACTGAAAACAGTTGTTTGTAAATGATGTTGGCTTTATTTATTATGTACAGATGTAGGTAGAGTAACCAAAACTTATACTCAAGTAAGAGAAGCACAATTTCAGCATATTTTTATTCAAAAGTAGCTGCTCAAGAAATTACTCAAGAGTAAAAAGTATTTATAAAAACTCAACTCAAGTACTGAGTAACTGATCAAAATATCATCCATTTAATATTTGAAAATGACACAATCAGATGGACCGACACCAAAATTTCCACAAAACATTATGTATTTTACAGTCCAAAATGAAAATAATTTCAGGTAAAGGAAATATTTTTTCCATATCAATTCTTTCCAATAGAAAATTTATGAAACTTCTAACAAAACCTGCAGGCGTGTCTGTCTGGTGAATTTTTGGTTCAAACAAACGTGTTCTTCATTCAGACATTTTACTAAAGAGTAGAAATACTTCATAATAAAGTTACTCAAGTAAAAAGTACAGCCTAGTAAAAATACTCCCTATAAGTAACTCTTTTCTAAAAATGTTACTCAAGTAAAGGTAACACTTTATTTGAAGGGGGTGAATAAGACTGATATGACAGTCATAAACACCTGTCATGAACATGAATAAGCCTTCATGAATGTTTATGACTGTTGTCATAAAGCGTCATTCGGTAAATTGTGACACTTTTAATACAAAGTTGACATTATTCAAAATGTCTTTGTTATGATAACTTGACATTAACCAAGAAATCATTACTGATATAAATTTGTTATAAAAGTATTACTGATTGCACTTTAAAAATTAGGTATATTTATGTTATTAAAGGTAAAATTTAAACAGCAATGATTTCCTGGTTAATGTCAAGTTGTCATAACAAAGACATTTTGAATAATGTCAATTTTGTATTAAAAGTGTCATAATTTACCGAATGACTGTTTATGACAACAGTCATAAATATTCATGAAGGCTTATTCATGTTCATGACAGGTGTTATGTCATGTTTATGACAGTGTCATGACCGTCTTATTTAACCCTCTTCAAATAAAGTGTTACCCAAGTAAATATAACTGAGGTAATGTAACTAGTGACTACAGAACTCTGATTATGTAACATTTATTTGTTTTACACGGACTGGTTTGTGTGGCTACTGTTCATTTACATGAAAAAACAAACAAACAATGGTCATAAAAATTTTGAATTTATGATAAAGATGCACTTTATGATGCTGTTTACATAACAGCATTGTTGTGAGTTTGACTCTTTTGGGGACTGAGCACATTTTTCCACTGTTGGTTTAATGAGTGTGTAAAAGTAGGATGTTTTGTTTAACTGACTCCTCCACCCAATCTTTCTGAGTTTTCTGCAAAATAAGAAAGCGAGCTGCTGATTTAAGAGTTTTAAATCTTAAATATCCACTCACTCAGTGGATCTTTCTATTCTGACTCATGAATATAAAACATCTGGCAATTAATTCTTCTGCTCCAATAAAAACACACACTGTGTCTCTAGACGTTAAGATACCAAGTTCCCATTATATATTAATTCTTTATATCCTTAGATCAAGTTTTTGCATAATAGTTAGACAGCTATATCAAAAATAGGGGGAAAAAACAAAACAAAAACACTGAATTAAACCTCTAATTTCTCCTTGAAGTTACACTGCCCTCTGCTGGATTTTCAGAGTAAATCCGCTTGCAGTAAATCGATACATCAGCACAATTTAGTTTCAGCAAGATAATCAGAAGTCCTTTATGGTATCCTGTGCTTACGCTGTATAAATATGAAATGATAAGTAGATCTCTATTAGTCTGTAACATTAAAAGTAACAACATTATTTCAGATTTAACTAAGAAATTTTGACCCAAAGGAGATTTTCAAGTTTATCATAAATATATTCATGAATGAAATGACATGCAGATATAAAAATAAACTGCTTGGGCTTTTATCCAAGACCACAGGTGGACGTTATAAAATGCTGCAGAATTTTAATAATTTAAGCCGTCACCTGTTAAATTATTCAGAAGTGATCTTGAGAAGTAATACAACTTCAATCTAAGACCCGCAAGACTGCCTACTTTTATTTTAGTTTATACAAGTTCTCCATTGTTCACTGGTTTCTTCAAACAAGTGTAATAATAGAAAGATGGGCAACAAATATTTCTGTGTTCACAACGAGTGAGAGGAAGCATCACTTGCTTTGTTCATTTTTTGTTTTCTAGAAAATACAAATCTGAGCAATCAGAGTCTCTCTGTAACCATGGAAACAGACGACTGACCCCAGGAGTTTGTCCTTCTAAAAGTCCAGACAGTCGTGATGAAACACGCTGCCCCTTCATTTCAGACATGTCGCATGTCTCCATATTGAAAACGTAGCGTCAAGTCAACACACTGACACTGTTCAGAGATATCACATCACAGCACAAGGCATGATGGGTAAGGAGACCCCTCACAATTAGACACTTGTTATGGTGCTTGGTGGCAGCAATTACTGATGCCTATTCTCTGCACAGAAAGGGATTTAAACAGAGGGTCACTGTCTGAGATAAGTACAACTTTACCACCGCATTATTCTCCAAGTTTTGGCTTTAAAATGTTTATTTTACGAATTAAAATTGGAGACACAGATATCAGCATCTTTCTCTGAAAATGTTTTCCACTGCAGATAATTGACTTTTTTGCATTATAACCAAATGATTATTTAACCACTCTGTTCTTACTCATTTTAAACAACATCTCAGCTGTTATTGCACATATGCTTTTTTTTGTTGTTGCACTGATATAATGTACTGTAAATATTCTGTACATTTTTAGAAAAAGTCATCTGACTCAGTTGGATCCTTTGGATCATGAGTCAGATATTTTTATTTCTAACTGCACAGTATTTTCTGTTATAGTATCTTTGTTATTGCTTCTCTCGTTGTTTTTCATACATTGTTTTTAACACTTAAAGAACATTTTTTTCTTTGTTAACATACTCCTGATGCACCTGACTGCCCCCTTTGTGGGTCAATAAAGGCTGATCTAATCTATTTCTAACTTTAAATGTGATATTTTTGTGTTATTAGTTCATGGTTGCAGTCTGCCCTCAGGACTGTTTTGATTATTATGAAAGCAGCAACATATTGATTTACTACTGTGCCATGTTCCCAGAAAAACTGCTGACCGATCACAACAAAGTGACCCAGATCAAAATAACCTTCATGCACCGAGTAAAACAAGAATATTCCGTTTCAGTGAGGAAATAAAGAGACTGTTTGCTTGACAGCTGCATAAAACGGAGCCTTAAAAAATTATGCAAACCAACCAAGAATGTCAATATGCCTTCAAACTGTGTTTGTTTACAGCTGGTAAAACTGCAGTCACATTTAAGTATACTTCTGTGGAGTTGCAGGTTTTGCTGAGCAAGGTAAGTAAATGAACCCTGAACCACTTGCTTGGCCAAACATCAAGAAGTATTACTAAAAATAGCCTGTAGGAACAGTTAACTATACTTGAACGGAGAGAGAAAAATAGTAATACTACAGCAGTCAAAAACACATACATATACCTGACAGACCTGCTTTGAAAACCACAGGGCTTTTCCTGCATCCTGACAGCAGCTGAATGTTTCGCAGTAAGCCTTTGGCGGTCAGACGCACGTGGATGATTGACAGGGGGAGCTTTGGAGACCATAACATGGCTCAAGAACAAATAATACAGCCAATAATAATATCAAAATCTAAATCGTTGTCCTAATGTAGATGCCTCATCCTTGATGTGCTCACCAGCAGCTTTTGGAAGCGTTTTTAGATTACTCTGATCAGGACAGGAAGAGAATAAATAAAAACAACATAAAGAAGTTGAAATAGTTACTCCACAGGGACGGACTTGAAAAAAGTGAGGGCACCCAGTTCAGCATGGCAAACCTTCCAAGTTAGAAAACTAATTCCCAGCTGAGAGCATAAAGGATGTCCAGCCGCTGTGGCCCAGGCTCATAGATGTGATGTAGGGAAACGAGCAAAAAAAAAAAAAAAGTCCCTTAATTCTGTAAGCTTCAGTTTTTGCCAAAAACACAAATCTTTAAGAGCTGCATTTCCGAGCATGATGATGGCGGTGCTGAAGCAGAGCCAGGATACGAACAGAGACAGAGAGGAGAGGGCAGGCGGTGTGGGCGGAGCGCTCAGAAGAGCTGCAGTCAGTAACAACTGAATGCAGTTCTCTGGCTACAGAACATTTCCCTCGTTTATTTGCACCAGGAGGAATGGGAGCCGACAGGCTGCTCAGGTTTTGTCAGGTGACTAAAACTAAATGTGAGAAATATCCAAAATGAGCTTTAAAAAAAAGCAATAAGGACGCCTCATATTCTTCGCTACCAAAAAAACATTCACATGAAGCAGAACACAGAAAAACTGACACAGATTTTCTAGAAATCTTCAATTTGAAAACGTTATAATTTTGCAGAATGAATAGCATGATTTTGTGCTCAAAGTACTTAGAGTCAGGTTTTACTATCAGTATGCTTCAGATATCATAAAAACAGCAAAATAAATAAATAAATAATATTTTGTCTTGTTTTTAAATATTTTAAAAAAGATTTAAAAATACAGATTTTCAAAATAATCTGTATTTTTAAAATCATGATATACTGACAGCTTTCCTCTGTTCATATTTATTAAAACAGCAGTTTCAATGCTTTGATTAGCATCTGAGCCAGACTCCAGTCAGGATTTTGAAGTGAACTTTTGGTTCCTTAACTAAGTTTTAAAATAATTTAAATGGCCCAACTTGATTTTTAAACGAGCCAACATTTATCCCTGGATTTTTGTTTAATAAATCAAAAATCAACATGGTCAGAGTTTGACTAAAAAAAATCTCAGTTTGCAATATGGCAAATGACAAATAAAAGATGTAATTTCAATAAAAATTGGTAGAAAGGACACACACAAAAAAAACATATATTAGCTTGTAGATAAAGTAATGCATCAGGAAATTAAAATAACTGACCACGCTCCCATTATCTTCATCTCCCAAACTAACCAGCCCCAGATGATTGTAAAGGTAAACTCCAAACGTTTTTAGACTTTTCAAGATGGCGTTAGAACCCAAACGATCATCGATTCTTGCACCTAGACATTTTAAATGAGTGTTGAAATAAATCAAGTAAGCGAGGTGGCCATGCTTAAAAGTAACAAAAGGAACCTTACCAGTTCCACAATATGTTTGTTCAACAAGTCTTCCATGGTTTGTCTTTTTCAGTGGAGTGACTGCAGAGCTTGATGATCCTTTGCTTGTGGAAGCTGCAGTCAAGGTCGCTACAAGGAGAAGATTCACATGGGAGAAAAAGCTGAAGTTAATCCAACCCATCATGAAGCAGAATGCTGGTCTCCAACACTGAAAACTGACACTTGTGTGCAGCTATAAAGCTGAACTAACTAGGAAAAACTTCAACAGAGGTAGAAGTGACACAATCAAATCATGATTAAAATGTTTTCATCATGTGCCAATACCATACAATGTTTGATAGAATACAAGATTAGTTTGAAGATGTTAAATAAAAAATAAAAATAAAAAAACACTAATCATTCCTAGAGAGTACTTATGCTAGCCTATTTGTATAAATTGAGAATTTATTTCAAAAGGGATGGTTGAGGATTTTTAAAGTTTGTGTTTTGTTAAAAAGTTTCAATCATTTGATGTCTAACCTGTGGCAGAAAGCTGTCCTAGTATCTTTATTTAGTAAAACTCCAGATTAGTTGGCCCTAGAGGCAGAATCTAACAGCCAGTCTAAGATAAACTATGACAATGGACAATTTCCAGCTTCGAAAACATCTTTTTCGTAACTCCCATTAAACGATCCTTTAAACCGTCTTCACCTTTACTTAGAATGATTATCTACATAAAAAAATGGACTAAATTGGAAGCAGATGAGTCCATGACTGAGGAGGTTTGACAGGAAAGCTGTAGGTCAAAGAAGGGTGGGATGTCCGTTTGGCTGGGGACAGGAGAGGAGGAGGATGAACTTTTAACTGAGCCAAATCATTCATGATACTGAGGTTATCTCCATGTAGCTGGCAAAGGGCAATCCAATCTGTAACCTCAAAAACAACTCTGCAGGGTTTCTTCAGCTTCCTGTGATCACTTTCTCTCAGTCTTTTTTGCTACAGGTAACCTCTGACCAAGGCGTTTATATTTCAAAGCAGAAAATAAAACAAGGTTGTGATCTGATTTCCCCAGAGGAGGAATTGGTTTTGGAGTTATACGAGTCCTTTACATTTGTGTAAAACAAATCCAATGTCTTGCTTTCTTGGGTGGAGCAGCAGAAACTGGTGAAACGCTGGCAGTGTAGAAGAGAGTGAAGCATGATTAAAATCACCAAATAATGCCACAGATGTATTGGAGTGTTGTGTCTGTATCTTAGCAACAACAGAACTGATGACATCTCATGCATTACTGTTAACAGCTGAGGGTGAGATGTAGACAGCTGCCAACATAACTCTTGGTAAATAATATGGAAGAAAACTTAATGCCAAGAGTTCAATGTCTGGACGACACTTCACAGTAACATGTCCTGGATGACACAAGCACTGCTAATCCACCTCCTTTACTTTTCCTGCCATTTAAATGTCTGTCTGCTCGTATGGTTAGGTAGCCTGGCAGAGAGACGTTGGAGTCGGGGATACGATTCTGCTTATACTCTTGCTGAGTCCTTGTCAGGGCTCGAAGCTCATCCAGCTTGTTAGCTAACAAAACCTTGTTGCCTATTATGATTGACAGAAGAGATGTTTGAAGTTCCTCCTTCTCCCTCTCCTCTTTACTCCTGCTCTGCATCCATGACGCCTCCTTTACACCTCCACTGGGATTTCTGGCTTCAGTTGTGGCATTATTTCAGCTTTTGCCATGTTAATCAGCTGCCTTCTGTTATAAGCCATCTTATTGCTAAGGTTACGCATCATAACAAATGAGCAAAGTGTAAGAACTGTTGGTAAAAAAAAAAAAAAATCTATTCAGCTGCACAGCATCCAAAACCAGAAGAAACGGTTGTTAAAAAGAAAAATATATTCTGTCAGAATCGCATGAATTAAAGTTTAAAAAATGAAAAAACAAAATCTGACTGGGAGTCAGAGAGCTACTCCAACAACCACTCTGAGTGACGCAGTTCTAGAAAAATGGTGTTCGCTTAAACAGCAACATATGTTTTGCTTTTAACATCTCTTTACCTTTCTATCAGACAGTTACACTGACTGGATATGATTTGCAAAGTGTGTTCTTAGCAAAGGTTTCAAAGAGGAATGTCCTAGGTCTGCCGTTTAAATTATTATCCAGTGAAAATGTGTCGGCATTGAAAAGCTTCATAAAATAGCGTTTACACAAACCACTATGACTTTTCTTTAGTCCGACTTGATCTTAGCCACTCTTGGATAACCCATTAATGCCAGTCTGTGGCACTGAATAACCTATATTTATGCTAAACAGAGAGATTTATCTACTTCAGGAAAGATAGTAACTGCTTAAAACATTTTGACAAAACCTCACTTTAAAAAACCTCAACTATTGCTTTTACAAAATTTGTAAAATATGACCTCAGACCCATAAGATTCCTACCTGATCCATTGTTTCTTGAAGGAGCTGAAATAAGCTTTGCTTTCAGCAAAGAAGATTTAATTGGTGTTGATTTCTGTGCAGCTCTTCCGGAAACTAAAGAACAATTACAGACATGAATGGGTTAAATACAGAGTGGCAATGTAAATTCAGATAAATTTAATATTTCCCATAATGTGATCCCAATAATCACATTGGGATCAATAAAGTATTTTTGAACTGAAAATAAAATTCTATTCTATTAAATCAAAAAAAACAAAATTACGAACAGAATGTTGATCATCGTGACTACCATTTGCCAGGGAAAGAATAAACAAAACATGAAAGTTTTACATACTGTGCAAAATTATAGTTTCTACTAAACCTGAATGCTACAAGTCTACCTAACAGTAAACAGCAACAGACACTTGTAATTTGCCGTTACGTCTCCAAAGCTTTCTACCGTTTCCATGAAACGCAGTCAACAAAGGGACGATACAGAGGCGATAGGATCCGATGAGCAGACACGTCAGCAGCACGAGGTGACAGCTGGATTCTGCATGGTTACGTCCGACTACAGAGGAGTTATGAAAGACGTGAGCTGGGGACTCAGTCCAGGTGCAGCTTCGAAGTCCGTTGTAGCCATCCATAGGTTTTCAGCTCAGAATTTGGAGACTTTGCTTTATGTCCACCTCAGAGGACATGGGTCTGAATGTGTCTGCTTTTACTCCTCCAGGCTACGTTGTGTGTTAAGTAGAGTGGAACAGCAGGCGTTGCCATAACAACACAAGGTGGGGTTCCCCAGTTTGAAGTACGGGTTCTCCCAGCCAATCACAGTGGGCTGCAGTCTATTGAATATTCTGGGTGAGAGAACCAGTTCATATCAGACGTCCTCATGCTTTATACTACTGGCCTTAAGACTAGTTTATTTAAAACATCTTTTGGAAAGAGAAACAAGAAAGAAAAAATAAATAAATTCATATTAAGGCCAAGGCCTGAAATTGGTCAACAATTGCCCTCCTTTTCCAGCTGTATAATCAGTGGGTAAAAAAGAAAATTATGGTCTTCACACTAAAAACAGATTTTACACATTTGTGTATTAGCCTGGAGTAGCTGTCCTTATTTCTGCATATCAATAAGCCTCACCTGGTGTATTCTTAGAATCCTGACCCATAACCGAGATCTTCTTTGGGGGTCTAACAGGAACCACGGGACGGCCCACGAGTGAGGAGCGACCGGGAGTTTGAGGAGGCTTGGGTGCATTTTGATGGAGCTTAATGCCTGTGGATGTCTCCTCTGTTCCCACGACTTTGTGACTGCCTGGTATGCAATTGAGAAAATGAAAAAAAAAACAACACACATAAAATGACAAAAATTTTCAACAAAAAAAGCAAAAACACTGTACTTTGCTTTTGATTGTAAATAAAATACCAGAAACTCTCCAGCTAAAATTAATACGTTTACAACCATCAAATGTCACGGTTTTCTAAAGTGGTGTAACCGCTTCAGCCCATATCAGAACATGCTCAACATCACCATCTGATGGTGAGACCATGCTACAGCAGCCTGCTTCATTCAACATTATGATATAGTTGGCTGCCAAACTAACAGGTGTATCTCAATGAATTACAGAATTAAATTTGAATGAATAATAATGAATTAATTAATTTTAGTAACCAATTTCAAAAAGTGACACTCAATATATATATAGACAGTCGTTACAGAATGACACAACTGGAGTGATGTTTTGGTTATTTTTGAGAACCAAATTTTTTAAATTATTAATTTAGAAAACTAAAGGGTTTCAGCCTTTCTTACGTTGTCCAAGTGCCTGAGCATTAAACCACTTCTACTCCTGTGTATTTTTGCTAGGCTGCAGTTCTGGCATATAATACTAAAGAAGAACAAGTTCCAGGCAGCTTCAAGTTTCATTTTTCTCAGATCATTTGGAGATAATTTGTGTCTTTTATGACCTTCCAAATTCATCCCTGTACTTGTTACACAAGTACACTGATAATATGAAGTGGTCTCTTAAATTTTTCCAGAGCTGTATATAATATTTTAGTCAATTTTTTATTTACAAAGAAATGACTAAAATCAATACATTTTAAATAATATACTTAGCATGAATTACTTGGAGAATAAAGGTATCCAAATGAATCTTTAACTTGAACCCATCTCACTCATTACTTTAGCATGACCACAAGCTCAGTACTGTCCAGTGTTTTTCTGGGACTAATAAATAAACTTAATTGAAAGATAAGCCTGCGACAGACTGGCGACCTGTCCAGGATGTACCCCGCCTCTCGCCCGGAACGTTAGCTGGAGATAGGCACCAGCACCCCTCCCGACCCCACTGAGGGACAAGGGTGTTCAGAAAATGGATGGATGGATGGATGAAAGATAAGCCTACCTTCGCCACTTGTGCTTGTTTGGGCCTTCCCAGCAGTTCCTGTGATCCTGCTCTCAGTCGTTCTCAGGGCTCCCCGTTTGGACCTGGCTGACAGAGGGGTGAGTCTGGGACTGGCAGCTGGAGGCTGGGGACGTGGTGCTCCTCTATTTTGTCTGGGAGAACCAAGATCTTGAGTTCTACTTTTATTTTCATTCAGATGAGCTCCTGCTGACTTGCTGGCTTCTGCCTGGGAGACAGGGAAAAACAAAACAAAGTGTAAACCCCATACAAAACAAACTGCCCAAACGGTGTGTGTTCAAGTATCCACTCACCACCAAACTGGTCTTCTTTACTCCTCTTGAGTTGTTCGCAGGACTGTTTGCTTCCTCAACGTGCTTAAGCTGAGAAGGGCACTTCGGACTGCCTGCTTTGGTTGAATTCTTGCCACCATCATCTCGAGAAGCTGGAAAACCAGCCGCGACCCCTTGAGTTGCTTTCTTGTCTTTGGGCAAACCCTCAGCGTAGCGGCGAGCCCACATTCTGTCTTGACCCACAGCTGAACCTGAGCCGACCCCAGTTTTGTTTGAAACACCCTTCTTTGGAGTGGGTTTGGGATCCACTTGGCTCCGTCTAGACGATGACATTTCCGAAGTACTGCTCAGGCCGCCAGCATGTTGTGCCGATTCCTTGGATACTTGGCTGGTGTTTGCTGGCATCCCTTCAAAGTTGCTTTCACTGCACTGGACCACTGGAACATATTCTTGGACAGCTGGATGGAGATCAGGTAAAGATACTGCATCACACCCATGTGAAGATTTGCCAGTTAGTCCTGAAGCAGCAGCTCTTTTAACTTGTCCAGTAGGACCAAATGTTTTAGAGGTAGCAGAGGCGCCCGTATTTCTGCCCATAACTTTGGTAGTGGTAAACCTAAAAGTGTTTTTTTTATTAACCTCACCATTTTTTTTAACCTGCTGGGACTTTTGTAGTTTATCAGTGCCTGGTACAGCTGCTCGCTGTGTCATTCTAGTTAAATCTTTATATTTCACAGTATCAATGTCGGATATGGGAACCTTCTGTGATTCTGTTTTCTTGACTTTGCAGATTGATGGTGTGAGTCCTGCAACCGGACACTCTTTAGAGGCGACAAAAATGTGCTTCCTTTTCTCGAGCTGCAAACTTGGGCTGTTAACATTTTCATTGAAAGGAGAGAGGAGAGAGGAGAGGTTAGGTATCTTGTTTGCAATGCACTGCACCGGAGTGGACGTATGAATGTCACCATCGCTGTCCTGCGCTCCTGACACAGTGGACCCAAAGGTTTTGCCAAGTTCTGAAGTAAACTCTTCTGTAACCTGAGGCAGAAGCTCTGCGTCAGCACCAGAAGACTTGACCTGGTTTGTCTGGTCGGTCGGTGTTTCACAAATAAAGGTCAAGAAAAGACCACCTTCACTTGGCAGTGGTACATGGGAGTCGAATGCTGACGTATCAATTTCCTCAGTGAGATTATCCAAACTGTTCGCCTGGTTGAAAGTCACACCAAGAGTAGGATGTCCCATGCTTTCCTTGGTCTCTTGCTCTGTGGATGCTTTGCAAACATCTGGCATGATAGACTCTAAAGGCAAAGACATGGTGCCTGCGGTAGCAGAAACGCTTGATTCCTCCATCGAGGAGAATATCACGAGGCACTGATCTTCCAGACACGAACCGTGACTTCTCACCACCATTTCTCCAGAGCTTAGTAAGATGTGCCCATTCCCACTGTATCCACAACAGGAAGTGTCACTTGAACTCAACTTGCCTTCTCCTCCAGCCGCGTTTGAGGCGATCTCCTCATTCTTATCGTCTTGTTCTCCATGTTTACTAGAACTCTCATCTGTCTCAGGTCCAGTTTGTCCATGATGAGCTAGGCTCAAACTTTTGTCCTGGGAATCCGGACTTCTAATTACAGGTGCGTTAATAAATGTTTCATTCATATTTGAAGTTACAACGGTGAGAAGATCCTGCTGTGCTGAGGTGAAAGTGTGGCTGTTGCCCACAGAGGAATGTTCGTTTAGACAGTGGTCTGTGTTGATGTAAGGGGAGCCACTGGCTTCTCTTTCACTCAGGCTGGAAATACCGTCGGAGTCGGGTGATGTAGAAAGCTGCCCGTCTCTCGGTGGGGTATCTGCTGAGCTCTCAAAGGGGTCACTTGGTAAATTAAATGTCTTAGCCATTGTAGAGTCAGGACTGGATTCAAGTTCGGTCTTTCGGCCAACACCCCTGTAATCCATCACATTTGTTGAGCAGGCCTGAACAAGAAAAAGAAAGGAATGTCACTTTCTTTCTAAACTCTTAAAAATATACTTTTTATAAATTTTACAAAAATACTCAAAGTAGGAGGTCATGACATGGGGCCAGATTTGTGTTAATATGCCAAACCTCAATTGAACTGGAATCAACTATGATTGATGTCAGTTTATATAGTTTTATAGCAAATACTTAAACTTCCTGTTAAAATAATTTTGATGAAATGCAAGCAAACTAAAATGAGCCATCTGATGTGAATTAATAATAAGTCTAACCCTAAATAAACTATTAGGCCAGCAGCCGTTCAGTCTGAGATGTTGACATCTTAATAGCTTTGCTGTGGCACTATTGTGTTTGCTTAAGCAGGTTGGACAGCAAAGCTTGCCAGACACAACAACAAAGGCACCACTGTAGAAACAAAACAAAGAAAGAGTACAGAGATCAGATCACAAATACCACGAAAACATTAAAACTAGAAAGACTGAGGGCATTCTTTACCATTTAAAAAAAAAGTTAAAATAAAAACTTTAAACCTATCCAAATACAAATATTTAAAACCTTGGACAGCTCAATGTACAAATCAGGTAGTTCCCTTTAAAATCCTTCCTATTTGTTAAAACTTAAACTTCAATTTGTTTTCTAAGGCAGTCCACTAATGCTTGGCTCTGCCTTTAATGACTTGGATTATTTATTGTTTCATTGCATACTAAAATCTAACATTGTGAAGAAAGAGTCGTAAAAAACCACATACACTGAAGAAAATACAGAATCGTCCAAGTTAAGGTCACAGTTATTACTGTAATTGAATTGCAGTTAATTTAAGTATCAAACATATTTAGACAATGAATGAAAGTTCTTTAAACAACTTGGCAGCTGAATTCTTCGTCATACGAAGGCATCTAAGGCTGTGAAAGTTCATACACAGATGGGATAAATTATCAGCAAGCACACTGTGAATGCCTTTCTTTAAAAATATAATAGCAACTAAATATTACATCAAAGTGGTTTTTTGTGGTTGCAGTGTTGTCCGTTATTGTGCGATCCAACATACTGTGAAATGACACTGAACAGCTTTTAACTACTTTTACAAAATATTCATTGCCAGCTAAATCTTATAATAAAATACCTGGTAACAGGAATCAAAACGTTTAGAGTTGGAGAAAAACAAAACAAAATATAGTTAAAAAACACGAGTTAACGCAAAAATTAAAAAATGCTACAGCAAGTTAAAAAAAATTATATTTCAACCTTTACAACTCCTTATTCCTTATAGAGTAAATATCAATTAGGCTTACCATCCATGAAACACACTTTGTTGTGCATTACAAACTTTACAATCAAGTCTGAATTCATAAGCCTTGAAGAATTGCTGCACACACTGAACTTTGGCAGGGACTACCCATCCAAGGTAATATAATCACCAAGTGAAATGCTGATAAAAAGCAGTGATTGTCCTGGTTAAAAATGTAAATGAGCAATGAGTGTTATATAAGGAACAGCAACTTCAGACTCTGTGTCCTGTCTGTGTTTATGGGAAAACAGAGGCAGAGGGATCAAAGCTGTGCAGCACTAAAACAAAAATACTGCTAAAAATGAATCTCATTTTCAGTCAGAGTGTTTAAGTGTAGTATGAACCAACCTTCAGAATCTATTAGTCCTCTCTCCATCCAGTGATGTGGATAAAAATACATTCACATTTACATTTTATTTTGTTTCAGGAGAGTCTTCCATCCCCATTTTCCTTCCAAACGTCAAACTCAGCCAGCTGGGTAGACGTCGGTGCAAGTCAGCCTCCATCCCACCAGCCCTCCTGCCTTGTGTTCAAAGTCAGCCGTGCATCAATACCAACAAAGGCTGAGTGAACGAGATCAGATCGTTGTTAGTTTAGGTTTTTGTTCTCCTCCTCAGTAATATAATTTTCTCCATGCGAGCCTCCTGCAGGCTCTCCCAGCAGCTCCTGCGCAAGACATCAAGAGGAAGTTTGTTTCTCCATGCTCTGCCTGCACACACGTGTCAAGGTCCAGCTAGGAACTGCGCCCCTGGTTGGGTTGCACGCTTACAAAAGGAGCAAGGCGACATGTCACCTTATCCTACTGAAAGGGGAGTGGCCGCGGACAGCCAGACGGAGTTGGCATTCAGTGTTGCTAAGCAGCCAAAGGCTTTCTGCTATGAAGGAAAGGATCAGGCAGCTTTTTATGTGTGGGACAAAATGAAGGGAGCAGGACGGCTACCAGCCACTGTATCCCACCAATGACGCACTGGAATTTGAAGTAAAGCTCAAACTTTTCAATTCAGGTCAAAAATATTTTATGTATCCCAAAGGTGAAATTAAAAGTTGCTGTAACTCATATCTTCCAAGTTTGGATAGTTGTGGACGGGGATGCTGTTGGCAGGAAGGGCATATGGTAGTAGTCAGTCTTGCGTCAACTCTGAAGAATCCTGTGACTGGAGACTGTTGCCGTATGACAACGTCATCACCGTCATGACATGTTAACAGTTCAGAGACAATATTCCACAGTAACACGTCCTGGATGAGCCCATCAGTTGCTGGCAGGCAACTGCTAATCCACCCAAGTTGCTTTTGCCACTCCTCTTTGGTTAAAAAGCTGGATAGAAAAGTTGCAGTCGGAGAAATGATCCTTGCCCATTATGATGGGTGGAAGAGATGGTTCGAACGTCTCTCTCTCCATGAAGCCTCCTTTTCAACTCCTCTGGAATGTTGAGTAGAAATTGTAGTTCAGATATTTAAGTTTTTGAATTGCTAATCAACTCCTCCCTGCTGTAAGAACAATACCTTGTTGCCACTGTTACGCATCGTAGCTGTCCAAAAGTAAAAAAGGAGCAAAAAATAAAATAAAAACATTACATTACACAAACAGCAGTCAGTACAGTTGATACGTTTTCCAAAGCCCTTGCTGACAACATTCATGTTCAACAGAAACAGCTTGTCATTTGATCCTGACCTCACTCCATAAGACCCTCACTATTTCTGCTTAATCTATATAAAGCCAGACGACCCGAAGAACCAATCATGAGTCAAGATGACATATAAATCACTGCACAGAGTTGATCTCCGTAGAGCGCTGTGATGTCGCATGTCCTGTGAAATCCTATTAAAATGGGAGTGTTATGTAATTGAAGCCATTGAGCAATATTAACCAAGTAAGGCAGAACACACACTGCCCTGTACTTTTTGACAGGCACAATTGATAGTGTGGTACGCCCTACTCTATCTGGCTTGTTAAAGTTACATTTCATGAACACCTCAAGTTAACTTGCAACAAAATGTGACTTGCACATAGCAGAACCTTGTACCTGGGTTAATCATTAAACTGAGCTGAATCAAAGTTAGTGTCTTTATCTTTGCACGGGTAGGTGAACATAATCTGTAACACTCAAGGAGGTGGTGAGTAATGGGAGCAGCCACCAACAACTCTGACAAGATGATAGTCTGCTGCCCAAAGAGGCAGCAGGTCAAGCTGCTGGATTCAAGGTCAACAGGGATAAAATAAAACACACAGGAAAGCAGTTCTGGGTAAGGTAAAAGAGATTCTGGTAAAATTAGCACAAGCCATCCTTCAGTCTGAGTTCAGTCTAAAGGACTCCACTGAATGCACCACAATTAGTTTACTGTATCTGTATGACAAGACATTGGAAAGTTTCACTAAGAGGAAATGCTGCTTTAAGGTAGAAAAAAAATGTTCTTGTTTGTGCTGCTTTGGCTTTTAGGACATTAATGAAAGTTTAAAGGTCAAAGGGTCAACAAGCAACCCCTCATATTCCCACTTTACTAAATCTAACTGACCTTTAAACTTTCATCAGTATCTCCAAAGTCAAAGCATCACGTACAAAAATTTTTTTGCTGCACAAACATAGTCAAGTTGATTGACACCAATTTTGTCTGATTTGAAGATGATACGAGGGCTGGTTGACCTTTCATGCCCTCTAGAAACATTTCAGAATATCCTTAAAATGATAGTGGCACAAAGAATTTGACACCAATTTTGTCTGATTTGAAGGAGGTGGGGTGGTCAACTTCACTCAAAACCAGGACAAAACAAACTAGAGTGATACAAAAAGGTTAAGACATGTGGAATGCCAATGTGCAGCACAAGATGACCCTAACTGCTCTTGTGATGGACTGATGACCTGTCTAGAATATCTCACTTTCGCCCCACTTTAGAGTCCTAAAAATAAAGTTTATAAAATATTCACAAGGAAAAAAAAATACCCAAGACAGAGCCCATTTTATCAAATTACAATTACACAAACGACTTCTCAGATTTTCAGATCACATATAAAAAAAATTATCTAGATGTGATATGTGATAAATGGGCACAGCGCTAAATGCTACAACCACTTTCAGGCTGAGATCTAGACTGACCATAAACTCCAGCCTGTTTGTGTATCTGAGGCTGGATCAAGGTTCAGTTTGTGTGATATTCATAGAAATAGTCAAGGCTGTGAAAGGTCAAAGCAGAACATCTGGATAATAAACAGTTGGAAAAAATCAATATCTGCATGGTTTATTGTTTTCACTTAGTTATCAGTCACTGCATCCCCTATATAGTCACTATAGACCATGACAGATTACTCTGAATTTCATGTATACAGACTCACTTTGTAAAGAAGACGCTATTACTTAAAGGTTGTAGTTAAAAGACATACATGAAACCCTATTACCGTGTTTGCTGTACCTTAACTCTCTCTAGAAGTCAGTTTCTGATCAAAACCTTGCCCTTTAACACCTGATAGACTGACCCTGTCTGTTCTCCTTCAGCTGGTTTGGACACGACAGTCGTCAGCGGGTCATACTCCTATAACAGAACAAGTTTTTGACTTTAAAGAAGACGTGCTACTGGTTGCAGGACGGCGGTTACCGCTAACTTACAACTAACAGTGAATTCCAGCCGTCAGTGAAAATAAAAACGGTGCTAACTGCGAGTTAGTTTTGCTAGTGAAGAGTCCTGGAGTATCTCAGCTTTTGTCAAACTTCAACTAACTTCTAAAAATAAATGCGTAAGAAGATATAAAAAAATATATCTTACCACCTCCCCAGCATGTAACGTTTTTTAGAATGTAAATACATTACTAAAATAGATAAACGTTAGCATAAATGAGTCCACATATTCCACATATCTAGGAGACTACCTGTCACCCTGGAGACCAGACGTCGTCGCGAGAGCAATTAGTTCCACCTGTTCATTACTAGGCTTTTCACTGCACAGTCATGAAACCAGTCCGGTATTTAAAACGACATACTAGTATTTACCACGCGTTAGCTATCAGCCCGAAGTGATGAAAGAGTTTGTTTGGATGAACTTTGACTATTGAGAGAATGAGAGATACAGAGACGGTGGGTTTGGAGTCCACTGTAAGCTAATAAATCAGCTCCAAATGTTAGATAAATCCTACCAATCAGGGTCATTTGATAGAAAGACCTTACTCTGGCAGATTTATAAGCAATTTCATTTGATTAAATACCGATATTATTTGTGTGTGTGTGTGTGTGTGTGTATGTATGTATATATATATATATATATATAGAGAGAGAGAGAGAGAGAGAGAGAGAGAGTCCAGGAGAGGGACAGTAGGGGAGATGATGTGTTCACACACACCTCAGAAAGGATGTAGTCAGGCCCCTCTGCCCAACAAACATACTGTGCTTTGCCCTCAATGTTACTTGCTGCAAACAAGACTTCTGCTTCTGTACAACTAAGAGTGTTATGTTGATAGATGTTTCCACCTGAGCTGTTGTTCTTTAATAGCAGGCTTTAGTAGCCACATGTCTGTCATCACACTCTTGACAATCATCTCAAGATCGCACTAATGTTGAGATTACAGCACTTTCTTGTGTTTTTTATGCAACACAAGAAGAAAGTTCAATTTCAGTTATAAATATCGTGTAGGAAAATACATTTCCTTTGGTTAGTTCCAGAAAAACAAAGGTGACATATGACAGATGGAAGTTTGCCAGATTTGAATTATTTCAATTATTGAATTGGAATTTTCTATTGAAGTATTCACAGGTTGAAAAATGAATAAATTGTGATATTAAGAAAGTTTGATGCTGAATGTTTATCATGAGAATGGCTGTAAAAATCAAATTATTCTAGCTTCTCAATATAGGACAATTTATTTACTTACTTGGGGATATTTTGATGTGTAAGAAACAGATATATAGTTCATACAACCACTATTTGCTTAAACATCCATCCATCCATTTTCTTTACACCATTGTCCCTCAGTGGGGTCGGGAGGGGTGCTGGTTCCTATCTCCAGCTAACGTTCCGGGCGAGAGGCGGGGTACATCCTGGACAGGTCGCCAGTCTGTCGCAGGGCAACACAGAGACAAACAACCAAGCATACACACACTCACACCTAGGGACAGTTTGGAGAGGCCAATTAACCTGATAGTCATGTTTTTGGACTGTGGGAGGAAACCAGAGTACCCAGAGAAAACCCACGCATGCACAGGGAGAACATGTAAACTCCATGCAGAAAGACCGGGGCTGGGAATTGAACCCAGAACCTTCTTGCTGCAAGGCAACAGCTCTACCAACTGCACCACTGTGCAGCCCATTTGCATAAACATATACATTTGAATTTTAGGTTATTTTTAAAGAAATTTTGACGAGTTTCTGACCACCTAGAGAATTACTGCCACACCAGCTGAAGTGAAACTCTCACTTTTCCATAAACTTTACAATGACAAGCTCCTCCATCTTGCTTTTCAACATGCTTTACCCAGAGATGCTCCACTCGAAGCCATCGGATTATTTTATTCATTTAACTCTGGAGGTACAGTACTTAAATAACACCATGATCAAAAGCCATATGATGCCAGAAGACAGAGCTATGTACATTATCAAAAGTGCACTGTGTTAAAAAAATAATGATGGGCACACTGAACATCCCATTGGTAGGGAATGGTACAAAGGAAGCTTTCAATCAGGTTCACAGTCAGCAGGAGGAAAAAATAAATCCTTTCATTAATCACAAAAGCTTTAAAATAGCTATTAACTATCAGTAATATTGATCAATACTCATTCTTTTGATAATATCTGCTATTTTATAACACACAATTTAGAAGGTGCTGTTGCATTATGTGATTAAGCAAATGTAAATATGCATACTGCATTGGTTTATCCCAAACTGTTTACTTTAGTAGTTTGAAGGAGGCTTAAACTCTCAGCTCTGCAGCAAAAGATTGATGCTACTGATGCCTGCAGGTACCTCATGTTTCTTCTGACATCAAAAAAAAAAAAGTTACAGTTGGCTTTTTTCATTTTTGTAGTTCATCAGTCTGAGTGGATTATTTACACAGACACAGGTGCAAGACAAAGATCACAACCTGACACGTCAGGCCCAACGAGTGCATGAGACGGGATGGATGTACCAGATGGACGGCAGGACAAGATTTATTCTCCCACATCAGATTCAGGCCACAGTTTAGAAATGTGGGCGTAAAAGTTGGGACTCCTGGGTCCTGAAGGCAGATAAATGTGCTGATTTGTAGCGTGAGGGCAACAGAGCAGGACGGAGGAGGAGACGAAGCATGCGTCTTCTGGCGATGTTGGACAGGGGCGGGAAGGAGAGGGTAGAAAAGAGCACTGCATGTCTGTTCGTCCACTGGCATTTGAAGTTAAACAGGTCTTTCTCCTCCTCTTCCTCGGCCTCCTGCTTTCATCCCTGCTTCCGTCTTATTTCTTGACGCATGACGGCCAGCTGAGGCCTCCACAGGAAGCAGACACGATGATGTAGAGGACCACCTGGAGGGAGCAGAGAGAGTTCACCGACTGCTACGTTTTATCACAAGACTGAGCAGCTCCGATAGCGCTTGCACAACGAGAGCCTTTAGAAAGATCGATCTTAAAGAAAAAATGGAAGGGTAAGTTTCTGCTTAAACAGGTCAGCTGCTGCAGAGAAACATTTCAACACTGACGGTGATCGTTTTTATACTCACCAGAGCAACCAGCACGACGACAACCATCAGTTTGAGGTTCTTCATGCACATGGCTCGTGCGAGGTTACGACTCGTGGTTTTAAATGTGACCGACTGGTGGAGCAGCAGAGGGAAAGACAATTACTCGTGTGTGTACAGTGAAAGAAAAGATTGTTTTCAGAAGCATTTTACAAATAAAAAATATGAAAAGGAGTCATATTTATCCATGGTAAAATGAGCTCAGAATTAAATCTTTTATACTGGAGAATCAACACCGCACATTATCTCTGTGCCAAATCTGGTGTAGACAGAAGCCTTGAATGGAATGGGGAACATGTAGGGAGACCTCTGACTGGACCTTATTTATGTGTTGTAGTGGTTCAGTCAAAGTCCAGCTCTAAATCTAACAGAATCTGTGGTTAAGTGTGAAAATGGATGTTTACAGACTCTCTAAATCTAAACTAAGTTTGAGGAATTTTACAACCACAAATGGACAAAAATGTTAGTTTCTTAAAGTGCAAACCCAGTAGAGATTTAATTGTAATTGTAAAAAGATTTAATCGCAGCAAAACCTGCTTCTGCTCAGCAATGACTCAGCGTGGCTGAATGCAAATGGATAGCACACTTTTCACTTTTTTTTTTGTTAAACGATTTGGACACCATTTATCATTTCTCCTCTACTTCACAAATATGCACTACTTAGTGCTGGTTTAATACATAAAATCTCAATGAAACACATTGAGGTTTGTGGCTGTAAGGTGACGAAATCCATTGCAACTGTATGCAATCTTTACAACTCCATACTATTCATAATGTGAAACACATGTATATAGGGCAACCGCAGGTCAACGTCTGCATTTTAAAACTCACTGAATCAACCAGATTTTCTGTCTTGTCAATCAGCAACTCCAGCTTCTCTCCCCTCTGAGCGACCAGGTCTGTAAAAAGAACACAGAGCCGCGGGTGAATAAAAACATGCAACGACGTGAGACTGGGAAAACCCATCAGATATTCCCTGCAGGTTCATGTGTTACGATGTCGGCTTGGAGCTTTTACTTCAAGCAGACACCATCACTGCCTCGGCAGACCATCAGTAGATGATGACACACTGCTCCAACCAGGAGGATTTAATGAGGTTAAGGGACTATTAGAGATAAGAATTCAAATATAATATTTGTCATAAGAAAGTTTGTGTAATATCTTGACTGAACGTGGAATAATGTCTTAACAGAAACAAACTTGTAGACCATTTGTGTTTTTACTAAAACATTTTTAGCCACATAAACTACTAACAGTAGCTCACACTTATTCCAGAACTTATAAAAAAATCACTACTGATAATAACTTTTTCTATAAGCCTGTAGAGCTGCTTACCTATGTCACGGACCATAATACCCTTTAGGTCGTCAACTTGCATCTGAGTCTCAGTCACTCGATCCGTCCCCCGCGGGTCTGAGTGGTGCTTCTGCAAAACAGATTCAGAAGTTTTGTTGTTTTTTTTTGGATATGGCTCGACAACTTTTAAATCATATTAACTATTCACAATTTGGAATAGTTGGCTTAATTTCAGATCAGTATTTTTTTTTGTGTGTGTGCGAGTGACAAGGTGGGTAAGGACAAAGAACAAATGGCTAAATGATTGGATCCTCTGAAGCCGCAGATCTTGTCAGTTCCGGATCTATACTTATCGAAAGTGTGAACAGCGGTTAATCTGAGACAAAGTCCTGAGCACTGAAGCCCACTGAACCTAATGCTGGTTCTGACAGAGCCCAGCAGTTTGTTGAAGTTAGGGTGTCCATGCTGGTCATAATCTAGTGTATGTAAAGCCATACTGCCCCAGATGTATTTATTTACAAATAAAAGATCACACTGGTAAAACAAGTTAAATGTCTTAGGATTGTGTCCGACACAAATCTATAGCCTTAAGAGATACTTTATGAACAGATATTGAACGTCTTGGATAAGAAGCCTATAAGATATCATCATTGCGATATTTTAATGAGACACCATCTGCTGAGCTGGGAAAAAATATGACATTAGCAAATTTCCTTCTGGTCTCAACTGGTATAAGATACCAGTGAGCGTAAGAACGTATGGGTCTTTTAAATTATTTTCTCCAAACTTAAAACTATGGCTCCCAGATAAGCCAGTGTGCAGTCACTGATCCTGTGATTCTTATATTCATTCTGCTTTTTTAATGTGTTGCTTATACTGTGGTGAACTTTTGTGCTATATGGCATTTTTTACTCTTTTCAAATATATGAATAACCTGATATGGTTATTCAGATTTTAAAAAAACAACAACAACAAAAAAAACTACTTTTTTATTATTATTAACTTGTCAGATGAAAATTTGACTTTATGGCAAACTATGACATGTTTTGTTTACAAAGTCAAAATTTAATACAATTTAAAAGGAAATATAAGAAGGTCATTTTCACAACGTATAGCAATATGGGTGAGAGTTAGCACAAATGTGTAAATTGAGGCTAATGCATATGAGAGTGCGTGTGTGGATGTATATATTTACATATGTAAACCCAGATAAAATGGAAAATTAATTAGCCTACGTTTATTGTCTTTATTTGATTTAATAATGAGGGTCCATCTGATAATATGAAATGAGTTTATGGGGTAGGAGTTCATAAGTTCATAAGTAAATCTTCCTACTCCTTTTTGAGCAAGTTAAAATTATTGCGGTACAGAAATGTGTCTTTTGCATTCCTTGTTCATGTGTGTGATTCTATACTTCTACCATGTTTGAAATAAATAAATAAATCTTCCCTCTTGAAATAAACAACCAAAGATGCACAGAAAGAACATCAGAACACCTAAACCTTCTCATCGTAGTGCTAAACAACCATGCAGTCAATTCATAAAATGGCTTTAGCAAAAAAAAAAACAACAAAAAAACATAGATTTCTATCTACTCACCATCTGAGCTGCAAGTGTCGAGGAGAATTCACTGTTCATGGCGTAAGGGAGAGCAGTTTGCGCTCGGGACCCGTATGTGGTCTGGAAGCGCTTCTTGACTTCACTGAGGAAGCCGAATGCACGTGATCTTTCAAAGTCCTGGCACGTGAAAGAGGTAAACATGAAAAGATATGGTAAACTTACTTAAAGATGATGTTTCTGTTAGTGTAGTATTAATGCAATGTTTCCCAACCCTGGTCCTTGAGGCACACTGCCCTGCATGTTTTAGGTGTTACCTTGCTTTAGCACAGGTGACTTCAATTGACAAGTGTTTGCTGAACTGCAATCAGCTGAATTAGGCATATTAAAGCAGAGAAATATCTAAAACATGCAGGGCAGTGTGCCTCAAGGACTATGGTTGGGAAACACTGTATTAATATATACATTTAAAAAAAAAATCTACGCTGACAATCACAGCAGAAACATCGTCATTCTAAAAGAAAAAGGAAAAATACATAATCCCATAGTCCTATGGGATAAAGTACTTTTTGTTATAATTAAAGATAGGAGATACTCACATCATCTGTGATGCACAAGTAGATGATTCTATCATGGCAAATGTAATGAAAGAGATAGCTAGAGAAAAATAAAAAAACAGGTCAGCCTTAACTTGTGCAACTATGCTGACGACACACAAGAATACACTTCAAATCAGATAACATGTAAACTCCTCTGCAACTCCTTAGGACAGAAAGAGCCAGGCCTGGCATTGCTATAGCTGTAACACACAGCGAGTGTTAGCTCACCTGCCGTGACTATAGGTCAGTTTGTTATTCTCTGAAGGAATTTTGGCCAAAATCTGTTCGGTGACTTCCAGGAAATTCCCGCCGCACCAGGCGTGCTTCGCCAGGATAGTGGTTCCACGAGCCACCACAGCAAAAAGGATTGCCATGGCAACAGCTGGGTTCTTTTTAGCTCTACTATCTGCCGTCTACAAAAGGAAACAGCAGGCAGTTAGAGATGGGGAAAAAAATGAACATGAAAGGACTGAAGAGTATTTTTTAAAATAGAAAAGCACGTCCGACTGTGCTCCCCGAGAGCATAAAAATACAAGCAGAGTTCACCTCTAAGCTTGTTACCACCGCCTCTTTTGTATAACCAGGATAATGACGAGAATTAAAACCAAAAGCTGATAACGACAGCAGAAAAACAACGAGCTTTGCTGTTGTTTAGCAACATACAGAGTGGCGTTAATGTGAAAATTAGAGGTTTTAAAAAATTGTCATTCCCTCCACAAACAGAAATAACACAACTATCAGAAATACACATTACCTCTTTGTGTCAGGTATAGCTAAAATTCCCCGTTTAGCTCAAATTTCTACATCTGAAAGTGTTCCAGCTGCTAGCACGCTAGCTAATCTCTTTCGAGCGACTTCTGCTTGCAAATTCGCAACACCGGAAACTCGTTCTTATTATCCCCGGGAAATGTAGTTTCTGCTTCCCTTTTTGTCTCAAACTGTTAGTGCTGTACGTTCACTGTTTAAACTACAAATTCCGAGGCTACGTGTGACGTCGTTAAATCGTCACATGTTTTTACATGCGCAGACGTTGTGACGGGCCAGAATGCAGGAGTTAATTTTGCCCATTGAATTATATCTCAGGCTACTTCTAGTGTCCCTAAGTTTTCTACATTATGAAACAGAGTTTTAAAATAAATAAATAAATAAATAATAATAATAAATAATGACAATCAAAGGAAACCCAAAAAGTTGTTGCTATGGTTACTACATTTCTAGGTAATCAATGAACGTTTCAGCGAAAGTTTGATAGTTTTGTAAATAGTCTTTTAACTTTTATGCCATCAATTTATGAAATTGTGTGAATGGAAATAATAGATTAAAATGCTCATACATGTGTATGAATATTAAATGAATAAAGATAAAAGTCAAAATGACAAAAATTCTAACAAACCACAGCTTATTTCCACTTATCCTTGCAGGTTCGCGGATGTGTTGGTGCCTTTCTCCAGTGGTGCTACACCTTCGAAAGGTTTGCTGAAATATGTGCTAATAAATTACAAACAGCTTGGTAAAATTATGCAATTGTGACATAAAATGCTCCTGAAGCCACAGTGGCTTAAATGTGATATTTATTAAATGCCATTAATAAAACGTTTAATTTTGCTCAATCATATTTAATATAATATAATATAATATAATATAATATAATATAATATAGCATAATATAACATTTTATATTATATTGTATTATATTTATTTTCCATCTCAGTACATCCATAATGTCTTGTTTTCCTTCGGCCTCATAGACTCAATTCATGATTCATGCTCCATGACCACAAAACCCTGTGTAGACATTCAATATTGGTGAATATTATAATAGAGTATGGAAAATAATTTCATTGATGACACCAAAATTTACTAAGAATATAGTTATTTATTTGTTGTTACACCAAGTAAATTTTCAGCTTTTGCAGTTTCAAATTACCTTATATATATACAGGGGTGAAAGTAGTTTTAAATTCTTGGGGGTACTATGACAAAAAAGAATCTCTCTCTTTCTCCCTCTATATATATATATATATATATATATATATATATATATATATATATATATATATATATATATATATATATATATATATATATATATATACACCACAATTTCCGCACCACACCTGTGGAGAGACATTTATTCTCTCCATTTGCACCACTAACTACACTTGTCTTAAGCCACCAGGCGTCCATGTTGTAACATGAGATATTTACACAGAGAGATGTTTCACATGTAGTTTTTTCTTTATATTTATATAACTTTTGATGAAATAAGTACCGGTAACATACGTAAATACGTATCTTAGATGGTTTTTTTTCCGAACAGTGCTACTAACATGGCTGCTTAGGAATTACAGCAGCTTTCCTCCTGCTCACTAAAACCGCTCAGGTCGACTTTTCAGTGTACTGTCCGGTAGGTGGCAGTAAATGCACCTTGAGTTGGTTTACCAACCCCTAATTAATTTCCAAAAGAAGAAGTGGCAGTCCTAGGTCTTTCTGCCTATCAGACAAAGCTGAGGGCTGAAAGCCCACAGGAGCATATTGACGGACGTAGTATAGAAGCATGGCCGGGGAAGGCGAAAAGAAACCGGTGCTTGAAATGGTAAGATGTAGTAAACTCTCGTGTTACTTGGTGTTTCAAAAATACGCGAGCTTGTCGTTAAGCCCAACTGAGAGGCTCTCATTGCATATCGGGAGCCAGTGTTAGCATCTTCCCAGCCGCCTGCTCTCCCCTCACGTGCGTAGCCGCAACAGCTAGCAAACATCAAAACAGTCTTTTCCCTTCAACTCGAACAACTATGGAGCAGTTTAAGTGCCGTTCAGGGCATTTCTACGTTAAACTGGATTTACTTAGCATCCAAGGAATGTGATAACAAATATGTCTATTTTAAGCCACTTTTTTTTTACTTGTATAGAGAGTTTTATTCCCCCTCTTAGTGCGTTTGTTAATTTGTGTAACCAAGGTTGCGCTGTCAACAGCCATAAAGCAACTGATTATACACAGTTAGAGCCCCTCCTTCATTGATGTATTTGCTCAAATATGTCTAAATAAAATCAAGTGCAACCAGTTACCTGCATATTCCACCTAATTAGGAAGTAAAACAACATGAAGAAAGCTGAGTTTACCATAATAAGTGACAGCAAACATTTAGTAGAAGTGTTTGCTGTCTTCTTTTGTGGTTTTAAATTTAACAATACACTTTACCTGGAGATTTTTGTGTTAGTATTTCTAACATGTAGGGGTATTATAACCTAGCTTTTTCTGTTGATGTTTGTTTATTCCTGTTTTGCTGTGATTGCACAGCCTCTGGAGGTGTTGTCAGATCTTGTGACAGAATTACTGAGAAAATATGGGAGCCCATCACTAACAATAAACAGACCAGGCAACGAAGGAGCTTAAGGCGCGAGTCGTAAAGTTGCGGTGTGTGTCACCAGACGAAAACTGCAGCGTGTAATTAAGGTGTACATGTTCCAACGTGATGCGGTTACAAACAGCATTGCACCGCATTGTGCGACTTTGTTGCTAAATGCAATTGTTGGCGACCCTGTATGGTCCTTTGTGTTCAGAACAGAAAGCACGAGGCGTTGTGTAACATGACTTGTCCTCCTGCAAACAGGTCCAGGCTGACGGGGCCGATGACGGCTGCGTGACGTTTGTGATGCACGATGAGGACCACACGCTGGGCAACTCCCTCAGATATATGATCATGAAGAAGTCAGTGATGCAAGTTTGTTTGTCTCTCATGTGAAAAAGGTCACAAGTTCAAGTTTCGTGTTTTGCACTAACCTGTATAATAGAATCAGTTCTTGACATTCTGTGATTTGTCTCTGGCCTGTCGGGAGTGATTTAGGACTTTCTACTTAGCGCACCTTCTAAGCAAAACAGTGGTAAAAATCCTTTCGTCTCTCACCTCCGCCTTCCTGTTTCCTTCCGTCAGCCCGGAAGTGGAGTTCTGCGGCTACACCATCACGCATCCCTCCGAGAGCAAGATCAACTTCCGCATCCAGACGCGAGGTCAGCGCTGAACCTTCAGTCCGTCCCAGAGCTTCACGCCGCGTCTCGTCTCCACAGCCGAGCTAAAGTTTTAGAAGTTTTTCCAAATGTTGAACCACAAACTTCAACGTATTTCAGTGGAATTTTATTTAAACACAATGAAGCAAAGTAAAAAAAGACAAAAAAAATTGCTTTATTTAGTGACTTTTCAGACAAAAAATTTCATTTTCTAGGTTTTTTTAGAGATCAGTAATCAGTCAGTAAACTGCAATTGAAAGTATTTAGAAATCATGTTTGTTTCTCCATCCAAATTGACCGAAATTGCGGTATTTCTGGTATTTCTTGAGGTGTTGCTTTGTAGTTATCAACATTCTGGTTTTATTAAGCAATAAATTCATTAATGCCTAGATTTAATATCTTACAGAGATAATTAAGGACCGAAACGCTTAAAATAAGACAAACGTAAAAACCTTCTAGTGAGATAAAAAAGTAAATTCATAGAACAGAAAACAAGCATAAATCCCCTAAATGTAAAATATTTAATCTTACTTGGATTTTAGTTTCTCAGTAAGATCGTACTAGCTACAGTAGCTTTGTGAAGAATCTGAGTCAATATGAGTTACGACATTTAACTTCCATTTGGATCAATCGATTAGTTTTGAGTTTGAATTTTTGCAGCAGAGAAGAAAGGGCAAGAACTCGAGTCCCTGTGTACGGCAAGTCAAGACAGATTCATCCCAAAGTATTTTGTTACGTCGCTCGTAACAAAAGGTTATATAAAATATTGACTCTGAGTGGCTCATTACAAATGCACGCCACACTTTTTAGATTTCTGGGCAGTATTGTAAAACCAACGTAACCCCGTCTTCCCACTTTACAACCACATAACATCCCAGTAACTTAATGTAATTCTGATGTTTATTTGCATACATGCAGCGACGCTGAGAGCGGATTTTCACTCCGGGTTGCAGAGTAAACACACTGATTGGAGTCTTGCGCTTTCATTTAGGTTACTCTGTTGCATAAGAGTGACCAGTTTTGTACTCGGTCATATACTGAACGTGCACACACACACACACACACACACACACACACACACACACACACACACACTACAGAGAGGGGGTATCTCTTTAAAAAAACAACCTGTCTTGTATTTTGTCATTAAAAAACAACAGTCTCATCACATGGAAGGACTTAATGAAGAAAACATGTTGTTATTGCAGCAGATTTTTGGACTCGGAGGATCATGCCACCATCGTAGTAAAACACAATTAGCTTCCAGGCAGATTTTCAGACATCACTGTATAAAAGTCTGCTGCTTCTTTTATATTTATATCTATATCTGCTCTCTGCTGTAACCAAAAGGAAAATGGATGAAAGTTATCTTTGCTGACGGGTAATCGATTGGATCGCTCTGTTTATTGACTTCTGTTCAACGAATCATTCAGATGGTGCGTGACCGTTTGCCCTGCCTTGAACCTTTTCATCGTTTTGCCACATCTGGTTTATTTTATGCGTGAAATCTCTGATGTGTTCACAAACTTAAAAAGACGCTTTTCATCCTGATTTCAACAACCTGGAAGCCTCTTAGTTCAGTTTTTCAGAGTTTCCAGCAGGTGTGGATGAGATGAGTTTAAATTAAATCGTATTTGATGTATTCAATTTAGAATTGAAGGGGAAAAAATGACTCGAGTGTCGATTAGGGCATGTATTGAAATTCAAATTTATTTACGTATTTCGGTCACTTTTAACCTCTGTCATAAACAAGTAAAAAAACATTTTAAAAAAAACCTGAAATATTTACATTTCTGTCACTGGTGTAAGAGTGAAATTTGGACAAAAACACAAAGTGTAGCTTTTTATACCTTCACTTTTTCCTACATTCAGTAAACTATCAAAATGAAGATTTTATAACTTTCTAAATCATTTCTCCAGTTTGTAGACAAACTCATAAAGAAAATAGACAATCATAATCGGAGCTTGTCTGATTATGTATTTGTTTAGCAGATGAGTTTTATGCTGTTTTATTGTTTTAGTCAGTTCTCCTCTGATCGTTTCAGGAGGCGTTCCTGCGGTGGAGCCGCTGCGGAGCGGCCTCAACGACCTGCATGACGTTTGCCAACACGTCCTCAACACCTTCCAGGTACAGGGTGCTGTCTTTTTTCGTCTCACAAAGGAATATAAGCAGTTATTTATGGAAAAAAGGTTAATCATGCATCCGTTTAAGCAGCCTGTTGCTTGTAGGGCTAACACCTACAATTATTTTAGCAATTAATTACTCTGATGATTAATCGATTAATCGGACAAAATGATTTGCCACATTCTGCAGCGTTTCCATTTAAACCATTTTTTACATAATATTAGAAGTAAATTAAAAGATGCAAATAATTCAATTAGTTTTTAAATAGGAAAATAAAAATGTGCTCTCAATCGTAGCAAACGATGCATCTCCAACTAAACTAAAAAAAATTCTGTCTGATTATTTGTTTGTTTTGGATTAATGATTGAATAGCAAAAGGTACTTTATTTATTTTTACAGAATTTGACCAAAGTGAAACTAAAACTTCCACCTGAGGAGTTCTGGGTAGAACAGATTTACAGACGGTTACTTTTCTTTTTTGTCTTAAACACAAAATGTCAACATATTTTTGCACATTTTATCTAACTGCTATGAACATGCTGTTCTTTCAGCAAAAGGCCATTTTTTTGAGTCTCTGTACTCCAGGTAGCGATTAATCAATTGATAAATTAGTGGACGATTTTTTCTATAATTCATTTAATCATTTCAGATCTGTTTGCTTGCCTGTCTGCCTTTATAGTAAGGAATAATTTAACTCCAGAAATTACATAATGCGGCGTCCCTACACAAACTAACACTGTGTCACGGCTTTGAGAGGAAGTGAAAAACTCTCTCTTCCATGCCTCAACCGTTTCACCTGAGAGCGCTGCTGGAGCGCGGCCTGTGGACGGTCGTGACGCTACGTCAACTCCCAACGCACCACAGAGGCGCTTCAGTGTTTAGTTTTTTCTGCTGCTGAAGCTTCACCAGTTGATTTGAAGCAGCTGCAGATGAAGGCTCCTCCTGATCGAAGTGCTGTTTAGCTCATTTGGCTCCGCCGCTGGTTAACGTTTGAACACTCATGGCACAGAAAACCTCAAACTATGTGGCTGAGCTACGTCTGCTCCTGGTTCACCTGCTGAAACCTGACAGCAGGTTGCAGATTTAATGTGTTTTTTTGTCATCTGAGTGTTTGGCTCAGTGAAGTCTGACTCTTGTTGACTTGCTCCCAAGGCTGGAAATTCACTTTAAAGTATCAGGGAGGATCATCAGTCATTTCTCTGAGTCGGCTGTCAACAACATCAATCCTCTGGAAAGGCCCGACTATCTGGTTGCCATGGGGATTTTTGTGATCTCAGTCCCTTGGAGACGAAGCAGAAAAGCGAGCTGGTCTGTACTGGTTTCCAGCTTTGGCCTGTAAGGCGCCATTAATTCAGACAGTTACACAAAAATATTCATGTTTTTTCTTTTTACAACAAACATCAGCGTATTGCTTGAATATGTTATGCAACAAACTCTTGCGTACAGCATAATTCTGGACTGGGAGGAAAATAGATGCATTTTTTTTTTTTGACAAATATCTGAAAAGTGTGGTGTGCTCTCTTCAGAAATCACTTAGTGAAAGGAATCCACGTTTTCAATCTAACTGTTGTAGTTTGAGACTTGGATCAAAGCTTAGTCATATTTTAGAATGGCCTAGTCAAAGTCCAGGCTTAAATCCAATTGAGAATCTTTAATGAGACTGTAAAACACTAAGGAACCAGGTTTCTTCAGCTACATACACACTGCTTGTTACACCTCCATCTGAACATGGTAACAGCGGCGGCAGGTAACAAAGTCAAAACTACAAGTAACAGAAACGTTACTGATGCAGAACTTAATGTGGTAATTTACTCTTAACAGAACCCAACAACATAACGTAGAATGTATTAACATCACCAGCTTACCTGCAGCACAAAATAACTCAGAAGTGTCGCTATGCCGCGATACACATCCGTCTTAGCAACAGTTGTCTCCTAGCAACGGTCATCTTTATCATTGGTGGAGTGACTGGTGATGAATAATATACTCTCTATTTTTATAACCAAAATGATGAAGTCTTTCTCATCTAACCCAAAGAGCACGACGAATAAATAACACATAAAACACTAAACAATGTTAATTTACATCGAATATGTGCCACACCTGTCTGATCTGAACTTTTATAGATTATAGATTTATAGATTATACATGTACAATCTTGTGTTTGCATTAGTGCCAATGTGCACTTATGTATTGACATTATCATTATATGATTCCTCAGTGACATTTTTTAGTCCATACCTGTCTCTGTGGGCTTCAGTTTCTCATTTTTGTCATTTATGTTCCTCCCTATCTGCCTGAACTTGTACATGTTTGCTATAGTTCAGCTTGGCGAGATTAGTCTTTCAGTCACTCACTTTTCTTTATGAACCTGTTGGGTCATGGAACATTATATTGAAGGTCATGGAGAGTCATGGAAAAGTCATGGATTTCTTTACTACCAGTGGGAACCCTGGATCTAATATACAAATGTCACTAGCTGTAAGTGGAAAATCATCAAAATTAGCAGAAATAAAGGCTTTTAAATATCGTCAGTGAGTGTAATGAATTTATATGGGTTTTACGTCACAATAAATGGGCTTTTTAATATAGAATGAGTGTCTATGATGCTAAACTTTGTGTTTAATAGTGTATTTTTTTCAAAATGTGTTCGTATTCAGGCTTGGGAAAGTGAGACATTCAGAGTTCAGTAACCACATGTTGTTTCTGTTGCATTACAGGCGAGAGTTGCCGAGTTTAAAGAAGGCCAGGAGCAACCTATGGAATAAACATCGGAAACCATAAAGATTCAACTTCACTCAACTCCTTCGCTCCTCAGACGTCCGGGAAGTTTCCATGTCTTAAATACTTGTACAGTTTATTTTTTTAATGTAATCATGTAAAGGGATTCATAACGTGCGATAAACACGCATCGATGTTGCGTTTTGTTCCCACGCTGCCTGACTGGCGAGTAAAAACACTTGAAATGATAAAAACTGGCCTATCAGAGCTCTCCTTCCTTCACTCGGGCGTCAGACTCGTTCTGGGACGTTTCACTTCACGACTCGTGTGACGGTGTTTTCGAACGTCGGAATCTCCTGACGGGAGCGAGGAAAGTTCTGGAAGCTGATATGTCCTTATTAGCAGAGGAATGCGGTGCCAGGCACTTCAAACTGAGCCGGGAGGACAGCAGGTCAAAGGAGGGAGGAGGGAAAAAAGGGTGAATAATAAGCTTGAAGTCGGTCGAGGATAATCGCATCACATGTTCAGAATGTTTCAAAAAAGAAAAGACGACTCGTTTAACAAAATAAATGGGCGCTGGAGGATTTTAGAAGAGTTTACTGCAGCTGAAATTTTAGAGAAATGAAGTGTTTTTCTGTCAGAACCACGTGAATAGATCGATACCATTATGTCTGTCAGGTAACGAAGCTGGAGCCAGCGCTGGAAGGCTTTATGTAAACAGCTGGAATGGTGGGAAACTGATCGTTTTATGTTAAATGCTTGTTTAATATGAAAAATCCTTTTGGCAGACTTTGAGGAGAGGTTATCTTTTTTTCCTCCTACTTGCCTGAATTTAATAAACACATCTCTTCTTCTCTCACTCATTTCCTCTAAGTTCATCCACCCATCGTCTTCCGCTTGTCCAGGATCGGGTCGCTGGCGGTAAAAAGGGCAGGAAGGATACCAGATTCCAAGTTGTTTAGGCAACAAACGCCTGCCAAGAAGTAAAAAAATGTGACTTTAGCAGCTTTTTTATCAACAGTAACAGAGTAAAGATGTTTGGTGCATCTGGAACTCAGGGGCTTTTGCCTTAAAGCAGCAAAAGGAGAAATTAAAGTCACAGATTATAAAACTGTTTGTTTCTGTATAGTTGAAACTGGAATCTGAGTGTTTGAGTGTTTTTTATTCTACTACCGTCAGTCTGAGATTGCTCTTTATGTCGATTAAATATAGAAATACACAATCTGTCAGATGTGCTGGAAAAGGTCGCTAAGATTTATTTATTTTTTTTTTGTAAATGTTGGATGGAGGCATCTCAAATTTGACGATTGTCAAAAGTTTGTTCATTTTAGTAACTCATTTACCGATCCTCAAATCTGGATAGCTAAGTCAAGTCAACATTTCTGCCCCTAATCTGAGCAAACGACATATTTTTAAATCAATTTTCAGAAAGAAATCTATCAAAGTGCGTCGCCGTAAACTGTAAAAACAGAACGGTGCAGTTAAAATTGAGAACTTTCTTACCAAAACCACTGCAGTTCTAACAGGAATTTGAAACATTATTTGGAATATTTGAACCAAGTCGTACAGTAAAAGGAAATATATTGAATTTCATGTTGTAAAACTGTTTTCTTCCTCGTCATCCTGCAAATAGAAATAACTTGGGTGACCCTGTACAGTGATTGGATCATGTGGTTTCTTACACATCTGGTTTCAACTGTATTTATGTTTTTGGCAGATGTGCATGCTGCTATCAAGGCCATTTTTTCCTTTTTCTTTTTTAAAGCAGTTGTTCAGTGCACAGCAGGTAACGGTTAGCGCTGATCAGCAATGAATTCTGTTTTATGTTAGAAAGTAAGTCTTTGGTTTTAATAGATAATTTTTTCGGTTTGTTTTCGTCGCCATCGGGAGCCTGGAGTAGGTTACAGACTGGCGCACACGATGACAGGACTCAAAAAGCCAGCGTTTGTTTTCCAAAAATAATAAAATCTTACTGATCCTGAAGGGACTTTAGAGTTAAATGTGCCAGACATGCGAGGAAATGAAATTCTTAAACCTGTCCCAATTTCAAAACAACCCCAAGATTTACATCAACGCCTGTCCATGGAGCGGCTCGTCTGTCCCAGGGGCCGCACACCGAGGCAGGGTTCAGATCTCTACGTGAAGTGGATTATGTAACGCCTTACGTGTTTTTTTTTTTTTTTGGTGTCACATATTTCAGGATTTAGTGCAAGCAGAATAAAGATCCACCTTATTCGAAACACATTGTGTTCCAGTGTTTCCTCATGTCCTTACAGGGGTTTTTTTCTCCTTACTGCGACATTATTTGACCTCAGGGTAATTTATGGTCCACATCCAGTTGTGTGGGATTTTTCAGATACTCCCTGTAGCCCACAAAAGAAAAAAAAATAATCTGTTTTCTGTCATCGCTAAGCGTCCAACTTCAAAAGCGGCTTCTAGTTGGCAGGAAAAACGAAGGATTAATAAAACTGCACCTGATATATAAAACTTCCTGTGTTTGTTTTCCAGGAAGCAAAGGAGAAAACGCAGAACCCCTCATTTGTTATTTGATCTCATGTAGAATATTTTTTTTCTTAGATTTAATCTTGAATTCTCTCTTCACACAAGCTTCTTCTTGGAATTCGCTCCACGGAGCTTGATATCTGCTTGTCATGCAAAATCATTTTATACCCAGGAGATGTAGGACGATTGGATGTTTTTCTCGGATGATTCATGAAAATAGATGGGAACCAAATGTAACTTTCCCCTCAAATGAAAGAAAGATGGAGCCCATTACAGACGTGACAATAGCAAGAGGTCAACGCTCCTGAAACTAAAACTATTTTACTGAGACAATGGAAAATAGGATCCATGTTGAATATCTGGTCCATTACATTACTCAAATACCAAACCAAATTGTGATTTGTTATGACCGCTTTCTAAAATATTTCAGGGTTATTTTTTAGCCAAGAGATTTCATCTGAAGTGATTAAAAATGACACCTTGTCATGTCTTGTGACAGTCCACCGCACAGCAGTAATTGATTAAAAAGTGGAACAAGATAAAACCAGTGGTGGACATTTGTACAACTGCTGATTCAATGTTTTGCAAAGCCACAGCAATAATAGCTAGCAAGCCTTTTGTTCATTCTGGAGAGTAAGCGAAACAAAAAACCTGATCGCTGTCAGATTGGAAAAAGAACTAGTGTTTAAATTTTCCCTCACACTGTACAACGTATTTTGGTTTGGACTTTAAGAAGGCCACTATGATATAGTTCATCTGAACTATTTCATCACAGGTCTGGATAGTTATTGAACATGAACTTATTTCCTCATCTTAAGGAGTTTTCACACCAAAAAAGTGAAATTTGGTCCCCTAAAAGCCCTAGGGCTCGGTTCGGTCGAAGTGAACTCCGGTGCGGTTTAAATGCAGATGTGTGAACGCTGAGCAGGCTGGACTACAGCTCAGGGCATTCTGGGTAAGTACAACCTACACCAGCGCCAGTCTAGCATTAGCTGGAGAAATGGCTCGTGGTCTTTTAGCGAAGACAAACGAGAAACGAGACAAACGAGAAATTCCTAAGTCGTTAAAATCTGACACTACATTTGTTTACGTTTCTTGAAGAAGGGAGTTCTGCTCAGTGTCTCATTCAGGAGTTTTTTTCTTCAGCAGTTCTTAATCCAGCGCCACCACAGGCGAGGAGGGGAACAGGATTTTCAAAGGGTTTGTTTCGTTTCACACGGTACTGAAAATTTAGGAAATTTTGTAATTTCGACCCCCAATCGAACTGAGTCTGCCGCGTTATCAGGAATGAAAACATCCTCAAATCTTCTGCAGCCTCTAGCAAGTTTGTGTCCCCAAGAAAGTCAGTAGGAAAATACAAAGAAAACTTCTCGACTTTTTTCTTGCTACTCGTCTATAAAAGCCAGATTAACGAAGTGAACAACCAATAGTTGTTTTGGAAACTGATTCTCCATCATAGCTCTGTTGATACCGCAGAGATACCTTTCGCCTCTTGGTCGTTTTCCTGATAAATTCTCAAAGGCTGTCATGTTTTTTTAGGTTGCCGTTGTGTGAAAGCCACTGTAAATAAGTCAACAACACACAGTATAAAATACTATTTATTAATGTATACACTTAACAAAATAGTACTGTATAAACGTATTTAAATGACCAAGGCCTTTACAGTATTCACATATATTTTCATGTCCAACCTCACATATCACTCAGTAAAGACGCTAGCAAAACCACTCTGAGTCTCCTTCACTGGGTTTCATTCACATGTGGCTAAAAGCAGATATAAAAAGTTTCATGAATCACATTCAGCTACTGATTTAGCTATGATGCAAAAAATAAAGACTTTATAAAGGGTAAAGAAAATACGTCCAACAACAAACACGGGAATATATCAGCTTTACTTATAAAACAAACCGAAAGAGTTTCATTAAATGCATAATTTAATAAGTTTCTTAGAAACAAAGCAATAAATTGTTTTGGAAGAAATTGACAAAAGACCCAACTTGATTAATGTAATGTTTTCAATATATCTTGTTAAAACTGTAAAATGCATATGAACAATTGAAACCAAATATTTAGAACCCATAAGAAGAGACGAAGCCTTTTTTAATTTCTGATGATTAAACACTTCCTTTTTTGATGTCAGCTTGGATTTCCCAAATTATTTGTTTACTAAATACTAAAATAATTAAATTTCCATTAATTTTTAAAATTACTTCAGAAGTTTACGCTGCAGAAACACTAAATGTTGCCAAATATTTGTGGTCCAGTTTCTAGAGCAAATATCTTAGTACAAGTTAAAGAACACTAAATTAACTCACAAGTAACTTTTCAGCAAGATATGGAAGCTTATTTTAAGTCAAATATATATTAATATTGATGAAAAATTTCTAGTTTTAAGTTTTACTTATGGTAAAAATGTCATGTTCTACTGGCAGATTATTTCACTTACAGACAACAAAGTCGATGTTTTGAAGTGAATAAATGTAAACATCCAAGTTTGAGGAAAGTAAAAAAGAAAAATCCTTAAAAAGTTTTGGTATTTATCAGAAATCATTTTGATTATCCTAACTGACCTAAAACAGGAAATGTTTAATCTGGTTTAATGTGAGGCAGTAGAAATAATAAAAAAGTTGTCTTATTTACATACACTGTATAATAAACACTATATCCAAATACCTGGTTTCAACTGTGTAAATGAAGGACTCCCAGATTCAAAGATGGATGACAAAGTCAGCAATCATGTCTTTAAAATAAAAAATAAAAAAATAAAAAAGGCCAAAGTTTTCCCAGAATCCCCCTGTTGCGAGGTCGACAGTGGGAAAATAATTGGTGCTTTTATGACCACAATGCAGTTCAAGAATCTCTTAAAACGTCCGGTCAGCTGTATACACTTTCATTTCTTAAATCTTTTAAATAGCGCAACATAACAAGTTAAGTTCCAGCAACAAGCATGTCTTTGCTTCGGCAGCTTAGTCTGACTGAGGTGAAAGGCCTGGGGAAGGCGAAGCGGATGCCTCGCTGGGCGGAGGGACTTACACAAGCCATTCATGTTCCTCGTGCTACATTCACAGAAAAATAGAAGCTACATTGTCATACGCGACGCATGATGAGGATCATATGGTGTTTTTCTCGTTTTCCTGGATGACAGCAGCCCTCTTGTGACTGAAAGCGGAGATGAAAAGGATTTCTGCTGAGCCACTTTCCACATGACTGGGAGATTCACAGTAAGGGCCCCCGATTCTTTTTCTGTTTCTCTTTTTCTTGCCGGGAGATTCCGCGAACTTTGAGCGCGGACTGCGTCTTTTGCCAGATAAGGCGACGCTCTGGTCTTTGATGTCTCGGCGGTGCCTCGGAGGTGGG